ATGGTTACTGAAGGTTTTGAAAAATACAATGCAAACACTTTATTTTTATTTCTTTTTTTTTCTTTTTTTTTTATTGATTATGCTGTTACAGTTGTTCTATTCCCCCTTTCATTCCCCTCCACCCTACCCCCCCCGCCCCACCATTACCCCCCCTTTAGTTTATGACCATGTGTCTCAAGACCTTTAGATTCTATATTTTCCATGCTATTCTTGCCCCCCCATCTATTTTCTATCTACTGTCTATGCTACTTATTTTCTGTACCTTCTCCCCCCTTATCCTTCTCCCACTCCCCTGTTGCTAACCCTCCTTGAGATCTTCATTTCTGTTTCCACTCCTGATCTAGCTGTCCTTTTAGTTTGCTTTTGTTTTAGGTGTGGTTGTTAATAACTGTGAGTTTGTTGTCTTTCACTGTTCATGTTTCTTTAACTTCTTTTTCTTAGATAAGTCCCTTTAACATTTCATATAATAAGGGCTTGGTGATGAACTCCTTGAATTTGATCTTATCTGAGAAGCACTTTATCTGTCCTTCCATTCTAAATGAAAGCTTTGCTGGATAGAGCAATCTTGGCCCAACCGCCCACTCCCTCTCCTGTCCACCCGCGCACAAATGCGCGACCACAGTCAACTGGCAGCCCCGCTCCCCCGCTGCCCCCCCCCCCCGCCCCGTCGCTCGCTCGCCTGGTCGCTTGCTGTGTCGCTCACTAGGTCCAACCCTGCGCCTGGATTCCGCGCCTGAGTCCGTCTGACCGAGTTTTCCTGTGCAACCCCGTTCACCAGCCGCTGGTTTCGCCCCTTACCGGTCAGGCTGAAGAATTTGTTGTTAACGGACTTCCGAAAAGTTCAATTTTCTGTGTTCTGGCTGTGTTTTCTGTTTATATTTAGTTGTCTCTAAACTTGGTTGTGTGAGAAGGCACGGCACATCCACCTATGCCTCCATCTTGGCGGAAGTCTCTTATTTCTTTTTTATTTTTATTTTTATTTTTTTTATTTATTTATCTTTAGAGGGGAAGGGAAGGAGAGAGGGAGAGAAACATCAATGTATGGTTGCTTTTCGTGCGTCCCCTGCAGGGAACCGGCCTGCAACCCAGGCATGTGCCCTGACTGGGAATCGAACCGCGATTGTCTGGTTCGCAGGCCCGCGCTCAATCCACTGAGCTACACCAGCCAGGGCTTATTTCTTGAATATAAAAAAAAAAATAGATGTAAAAGTGTTTTATTGGGAAATTTTAAAATATTGACAGAAATAATGCAAATACAGAATAGTCTAATATCTAGTAGATGATGCCCCAAACTAAAGAGAACCACCGGTTTAAAAACGCACACAACCCGGCCAGCTTTACGGCTGAATTCTACCCAGAGACCAAGTCCTGCCTGGAGCTGTGAAGACAGCTTCCTCCAGAGGCCAGACCACAAACTCCTTCGATTCTGACTCCTCGGTGTATTTACAGGAAAATGCATCTTCTTGGGGGAGGTTTATATTGTAAAAAGAGCACATTCATGACTCAGCATGAGGAAGATGATTTTTGCTAAATACACGAGTAGAATAATTAAACAATAAGAAAATCAACATTTTTCATGTACAATTTATTTTCAACAAAAGTGCTACACCAATTCAAAAGGAGAAGGGATATCTATTCAATTAGTTATTCTAGAGCAACTGCATGTTCACATAAAAACAAATCTCACCCTGGATAATGTGGCTCAGTGGATTGAGTGCCTGCCTGTGAACAAAACGGTCACAGGTTTGATTCCCAGTCAGGAGATATGCCTGGGTTGTGGCACAGGCCCCCAGCAGGGGGCACGTGAGTGGCTATCACACACTGATGTGTCTTTCTCCTTCCTTTCCCCGCCTCCATAAGTAAACAAACAATCTTCAAAAAATTACAAAGAGAAATAAGTCTCTACCTGTACTTCACACTACACATTAAAATTAACTTTCGACTCACAGACTCATTTAGGTCACAGACTAAATATAAAAATTAAAAGTGTCAGTGTTCTAGAAAAAAACCACTGGAGGTTATTTCTACAGTCTTGGGTTAAACAAAAAAATTTCTTTGGTTAAATAAAAAGTGCACAAACTAGCCTGGCTGGTGTAGCTCAGTGGATTGAGCGGGGTGAGAACCAGCAAGAGTTGATTCCTCTTCTCTTTTTCCCCTGAACTTAAAAAAAAAAGATTTATAAAAAGTGCACAAACTAAAACAAAATAAAAACAGGTAACTGATCAATTTAATGCCAACAGAATTAAGTTGGGCCCATCAAAAGAAAAATCCCAATCTTAAAACTGAAAGTTTAAAGTTTAATGATGTAAAAATAAAGAAAAAGTAAAATTTCTTAACCACCAAGTATTTTTCAATCCTTTGCTAACTAGGAATAGAAAATATGTAAACCTGTCTGCCAAGATGGAGGCGTAGGTGGAAACACTGTGGCTTCTCGCACAACCAAGTTTAAAGACAATAAAGTTTTAGTAACCAAAAACGCAGCCAAAACACCAAAAATTGAACTACACAGAAGTCGGACAACAACGAACCACTCAGCCAGACTGGTAAGAGAGGCGGAGCCAGCAGCAGAGTGGGTTCACGCAGGAAAGATCCTCCAACCCAGGATCAGGTGGTGGTTGGTGGATCCCAGGCCAGGGGTAGCAATGGGCAGACCCAGTGAGGGCGCAAGGCTGCAGGCTGACTGGGGTCACACTTTCGCGCCCAGATAAGACAGTGAAGGAGTGAGTGGTGAGACAGACCGGGCAGGTCCCAGCGGCAGGAAGCAGCAGAGGGGACCGCTATTGTTCCCTCTCTGGCCCTGCCCCCACATATAGCGTCACAAACCAGCGACCCGCCCTGGTAAACACCTAAGGCTCCGTTCCTCATACATAACAGGTGCGAACAGACCAAAATGGGGGTCAAGAAGAACTCAAACCTCCAGAGCCGATAACTCTTAAGTGACCAAGAAAGAGCCAAACTTTCAGATGCACAGTTCAAAACACTGCTGATCAGGATGCTCACAGAACTGGTTGATTGTAATCACAACTTAGAGGAACAAATGAAGGCTAAACTACTTGAAATGAAGGGAAATGCACAGGAAAGCAATAGTGATGGAAAGGAAACTGGGACTCAAATCAAGGGAGTGGACCAGAAGAAAGAAAAAAAAAATGACCAAACAGAAAAGAATGTAGAAACAAGAATTCAAAAAAATGAGGAGAGGCTTAGGAACCTCCAGGACATCTTTAAACGTTCCAACATCCGAATTATAGGGGTACCACAAGGGGAAGAGGAACAGCCACCAGTGGAAAACTTATTTGAACAAATAATAAAGGAGAACTTCCCCATTCTAGCAAAGGCAATAGACTTCCAGGAAATTCAGGAAGCTCAGAGAGTCCCAAAGAAGTTGGACCCAAAAGGAACACACTGTTGTATTCCCTGTCACGAGAAACAGAGGTTCGGAGACTTTCAGAATTTTCAAGATGTTACTTTATTGCCCAAGTTTTACCTGTGCAGGGGCGAGCTCTCTGAGTGTCCAAGGACACTATGCTCAGGAGAGCTGCAGATGAGAGCCGCGCCCCGGCGCTTACAGCTACGTCCTTATATAGGCATATGCAAGCAAGCTTTGAACAGAAGCAGATGTGGCTGTTAGCTATTGGCTAGCTGTAAACAGCTGATTGCCATTGGCTTATTAGGGAAATTCAAAAGGCTCTTTGTGTAGTTGGCGGTTAGCCCTTTTAGGAAGTAAAAATTTCCCTGTTCCTGGTCAGCCTAACTTTATCCGGGGTGTGTTCGGGATTGTCCCTTTTCAACATCTGTTTTGGACCTCAACACACACCAAGGCACATCATAATTATATTAGCCAAGATTAAAATGAAGGAGAGAATCCTAGAAGCAGCAAGAGGTAAGGGGACAGTCGCCTACAAAGAAGTTCCCATCAGACTGTCAGCGGATTTCTCAAAAGAGACCTTACAGGCAAGAAGGGGCTGCAAAGAGGTATTCCAAATCATGAAATCCAAAGACCTACAACCAAGATTGCTCTATCCAGCAAAGCTTTCATTTAGAATGGAAGGACAGATAAAGTGCTTCTTAGATAAGATCAAATTCAAGGAGTTCATCATCACCAAGCCCTTATTATATGAAATGTTAAAGGGACTTACCTAAGAAAAAGAAGATAAAAAATACGAACAGTGAAAGGACAGCAAACTCACAGTTACTAACAACCACACCTAAAATAAAAGCAAGAGCAAGCTCACAGTTATTAACAACCACACCTAAAATAAAAGCAAACTAAGAGGACAGCTAGATCAGGAGCAGAAACATAGAAATGAAGATCACATGGAGGATTAGCAACCCGGGAGTGGGAGAAGGAGAAGGGGAGAGAAGGTACAGAAAATAAGTAGCATAGGCGGTAGGTAGAAAATAGGGGGGAGGGCAAGAATAGTATGGGAAATATAGAATCTAAAGAACTTGAGACACGTGGTCATAAACTAAAGGGGGGATGGTGGGGGAGGGAGTGTGCAGGGTGGAGGGGAATGAAGGGGGGTAATAGAACAACTGTAATGGCATAATCAATAAAATATATTTTAAAAAAAGAAAGGAAATCTATAAACCCACTATAAACGTTCCTCTTGGTCAAAATCAATTGAGGATGGCTGTCAGGTGCTGACTCATAAACTGACATACATGTAAATGTCCTAAAGAATAAAGCAATTGTCAGGAACACCTAGTACACTTACTGAAAGTGTCATAAGTTAGCCCGCCACGCAGCACCCTGCAACTACGCATGCTCCATGTGGTGCTACTGAGCTTGTGCATGCGCGGTGTCCGCGCTCCGACCGCGGACGCACTGGGGAAAGATGGCGGCGCCCAGGGTCTGCACTCCGCTGCACGGGCACGTGGGCCACGGCGCCTATAGCGATGTGTACGAGCCTGCGGAAGACACCTTCCTCCTCCTGGATGCTCTGGAGGCGGCGATAGCCGAACTCACGCGGTGCGAGGAGGCGCGGGTCCCCCGCAGGACAGGGATCAGGGGTCGTGGAGGGGGCGGCACAGATCTAGGGAAAGGCCTGTCGCCGTCACCCCGTCTGGAGGCGGGATCACCCCCCAGGCAGAGGCTGACCCCGGGGTCACACAGACACAGTGGCTAAGGCGCCGGGGTCCTGTCGGTGCCAGAGCTCCGACCCCGGCGGGCGGTGTCCTTTCCGGTAAAGCGGCGATGATGAGCGCACGAGCCCCCGACAGCACCGATCTGAACGCGCCCAGACACAGCTTTTTAGGTCACTTGGTGAACCCCCTGGGCGCGTTGCGTCACGGGATTGACGGATGAGATGCTGGAGTGGGGCGTGAGTTTAAAGCCGCTGGGTGACACGCTCTAGCCAGAAAGGTGCTGGTGCGGCCGTGGATCTGAAGTTTTCAATTGTAAGACATTTAGTTACATACAGCAGGCAGCCTATACAATGTTACCTAGCACCTTATAAACAATAAAACAGACCTGTCGAAATGCTAATTAATAACGAATGAATAACTGCATTGTAATTTTTTTTACTGAAAGAAATTTGGGCATTTAGATGTATTTAAAGACTTGAAATGGGGTGTCGCAGGATGAAACAGCTGTCAGGCTTCAAAGATCTATATTTGTTTAACCCTTTTAAACCCAGCTGGATTTTTTCCATGTATGAAACTGCCCAAATTAACTAGTTTTTCTTTGTAAACGAGGGAACTTCTGCATCACTTGGAATATAGAGTGGTACTGTTTTATAGCACAGGATGCCAGAGCAATTTAGAAGCACAAATCGGGTTGCGCAGTGTGCTGCGCTGATTTTCTTATAGTCTTGGATATTCTGCTTTTGGAACTTTATGAGACCAAAACAGTTATTTTCTAATAAAAGTCACCTCGTGAGATTCAGCACACCTTCCTACAGCATAAAAACTTTGCCAGAAGTGGACTGGATCCAAAGGTTAGAAACTCCTAGAGTTTGGGCAGTTGTTTGGGGAGTTAAATATTCGTGAGACCCCTAAATCCCATCAAATTTATTTCTATAATGGGGATAATTGGTAAATTTGACATATATAAGATTATAGGCAAGAAACTAAATTTAAGGACAAAATACAATGGAATGGTGAATATATTCAGTAGCATTCTTCTCATTATTAATATTCTCAGATCACATACTTAAGTATTTTCCCAATTCAGTGCTTAGTAGTACAAACATAGAATATTTTGCTGCTCTAGTATTATCCATACAATTAGGCAAGTTTTTATCCCCAATATATGGTGATAGATTTATGAAAGTTCTATACTTTAAAATGATAGAGAAATGTCTTTCATAAAAACATACTGGTTTACAAACAAAAACTGTATAGCACCAAAGTAAAATATCTTGGGAATGATTTGATAAAATATTTCAATCTCAAAAAACTAATAATACTATCATTTTAGGAAATACTAAACTAGGAGCTCCTTCTGGAAAGGGCTGATGTCTTTCCTCTTAAAATCTCAAACCCTAAATTAGCATTATTCCATAGTTTTTATGTAATGTTTTGCAGAAATTAATTGAAAGCCATTATATTACTATTTTATGGACTTAAAATTACATACCCAAAGTTTTAAGTTCTGCAGTATTACATGAGCACAAAGAAACTGTCAGAAATTACCTTATGTATACTTTCCATACATTTGCAGGTGACAATGCTAGAGAAATATAATTTAAAAGTAGCACAAGTGTCATTTTCTGTAACATGTATTTTAATGCTACTGTACTAATATTTTCTCTTCTAGAGTGGAAATATGCCTTGAAGTAGGGTCAGGATCTGGAGTGGTATCCACGTTCCTAGCCTCCTTGATAGGTCCTCAAGCTTTGTACATGTAAGTGTGAGATACCAAATTCATGCACATCTTCCACTGAGAGATTTACTCTAAGGACCATAAGTACTGCTTGAATGAAATCATTTTTCGTATGTAGATAAGTATCTGATAGTGTCTATGTTAGTTCAATAAGGAATCAGATGGAAAATTAACTTTCCTAAAAGTTACAACTGTATGTTCAGATCTGTTCCATCAGACTACGGAATTATAGAAGCAGCATAAGAATTTTAGGTCATCTCTAAAATTAAATATTTTAGGTAAATAATTTGATTATAAAAAAAAATAAAGTTACCAGAATTTTTTACAATTTCTTAAAGAATATAGAAAGTATAAAAATAAAAATTACCTATAAATTGTACCACACATGGTCCAACTGTTCCTTCTGTTTATTTCCATTTCTTAATGTTTTTCGATTAACATCATTCATAAGCATTTTCCTTTCAAAAAATTCCTTTTAAATTTCATTCCTGATGGCTGCATAGTATTCCTTCATTGGATTCATAATTTAATAAATTCCTTCAGATGTGTGCAGGTGTGTGCATTTTTCTGCTCATGCACACCTTATCAATATAACACTGTTTTTATCAGTATAACAAATCTTTGTTTTTTTTAGTTAGTTGACATTAAACAATTACTGTATACTATATGCTCTACTATGTGCTTTCATTTTTTATGACAACATTTCATTTAACTGTGAAATACAATTGGTTCTAGAAGTATTATCTTTGGCATCTAATAGGTATCAGGCTAAGATCACACCTTCAATTCTTTGCTCACATTTTAATGCAACCTCATACACCCCTCATACACACAATAATTTCACCCCTCATACACACAATAATTTCTGCATTGTCTTGTCATGTTATCTTCATCATTTAGGGACCATACCATGACCTCATTGCCTGCCTCTTCTATCACTTATTTCCTTATAAATCAAGCCAACATTAATCTCTTATGCAACTTGATAGAAAAAAGACTTGCTTAGTTACCTGGTGACAAATCTTTGTTCTTTTTCTGCTTCCTGTAAAAGGAATGGAGTGTTCCTTGAATTTTTCAGAAATAGATCTGCCTCATGGACAGAGAATGTAGTTTTCTTTCTTTTCTGTCTGTAGGTGCACTGACATCAATCCTGAAGCAGCTGCGTGTACCCTGGAGACTGCACGCTGTAACCAAGTTCACATACAGCCCATAATCACAGATTTGGTGAGACATAGTCTTTGCCCAATAATAAATTAATTTCCTTTTCAAATAAGGTCAAGATGATTGAAGTCACAGAAACTTGATTAATTTTTAACCCACTAAGCAGTATACCTCATAGTTTATAAAGAACATTCTAGACTGATGGAATCCTTTCTGTCCACAGTTCACAGGCAGTTTCTGTTGGCTTGTCTGCATCAGGCATCTGCCTGTCACAGTGACAGGAAATCAGGTTCAAACTGGCTTCAGCAGAGTGGTGGCCTCAGGCACACCTGACTCTAGGAAAGAAACCCTTGGGTCATGTGCCTCTCAATCCAATTTCTATCCTCTCAGAAAACCTTTCTCTTGGTTAATAGAGCGCATGTGCAGGATTAGACCCCCCCCCTTAGTTTGTTTTTGGGAAGAGAACCTGCAGTGTGAACAGGTGAGCTGCTGAAGAGCCAAAGCTCCTAAATGTCATCTTCACTTGGAGAGTTGTTTCCTTATTTTTAGGTAAATCCATATAATCTTTACCTGAATGACAATTGTGCTTATTACAGTGGTCTTCTAACACATATTTTTGAAAAACCTTTTTTAAAGATGATTGATTTAATTTATATTATATCTGACTTCAAGGTCTGACAACTGTTGAACATTTAGGTCCAAGGCTTGCTACCAAGAATGAAGGAAAAAGTTGATCTTCTGGTGTTTAATCCCCCCTATGTAGTGACTCCACCTGAGGAGGTAAGACATGCAACAAAATTGAGTCGTTGACGCTATCTGCTGGTTTCTTCCTAAAATCAGATAAATGTCATATGATGCCAGCTGCTCATTAACACAAGCTGCTCTTATTTGCTTCTGTGAATGATTGGGTATTACTGATAGATTAAAAAAAAAAAAGTAGAAATAAAACCTGACCCGTAAGTATCCTTAAAAATCCTGCTCCAGTCAGGCTATGGTAATTCATGTGTGTGTGCACCTCTACTTGCCTTTTATTGAAATGACAAATCTGCAAAACAATAGTTTTAATTGCCCTTCAATTCACAGAAGAATGCTTTTTGAAAGGTCTCAGTGTTTCTTCTCCCACAGGCATTACTGCTGGTAGGTGGGGTGGAGGTGGAAAAAGATGTTATCTTGAAACATGATTTTAGAAATGCAGTAACGAAGGGGTGATCATAGTAACCACTTCCCAGTTTAAAGAGAGAATGCATGAGGCTGATGAAAGGTTATGGTGCCTGTTTCATTCTTGATCATTCTCTGGCAAGGCAGAAGAATGCAAAATACGTACTTTTTGGTGAATGTTGTCAAAAAGATTAAGTTTGTGATTTTAAATGTGACTTGAGTCAAAAGTCTTCCTAATTGGTCACAGGTGGGAAGTCACGGAATAGAAGCGGCCTGGGCTGGCGGCAGAAACGGTCGCGAAGTCATGGACAGGTTCTTTCCAGTGGTTCCAGATCTCCTTTCGCCAAGAGGGTTATTCTACTTGGTTACTATTAAGGAAAACAATCCAGGTAACACAGGCCTGTTCATCGGTTAACCACGGACTCTGCTGAACTCAGAAGTTAATGATGTCAAAGGCTGTTAATTTATAAAGTAACGGAATGACAGTAATCATTGATAACACTTAATACAGACATGTTGAAAGGGATTTTTCACAGTTGGTTTGGGGAATTTAAAAAGTATTGTTTTGGGGGGGGGTAGGAGCAGTTTCCCCCAATTCCTAAACTAATACTCAAATACAAAATTTGTAATATTTTCTCCTAACATTGCACCCTCTGTATTGGGGATGTTTCCTCCTCGGTTGATATGCCTGAGTCAGTTCTGCTGTGCACGCTTTAGTTCACCTGGAGTTTTACCATGAAAGCCATCTCATGGTACGGATTTTTATACCTCAGCATGCAGACTACTATGTAACTAAATTGACCACAATGTTTTTTTTTCTGTATACCTGTTAGAAAATTTCATGTTCTACCTGATATTCTTAGGTCCTGAAGTCAGATCATGATTGTTAGGTGAGGGTTTTTGTTTTGACTGACTCCATTTACTTAGTCTTTTTGGTGTTGTTTATAAAAGGGAAGGTTTCGCTTTTTCTAAAAGAAATGCTACTTCACTTACTAATGACTTACTGTAATAAGAAGTGTAATTAGTTTCTTTTGAGCCCAGAGTCTGAAAAGAATTATCAGCAACACCTTGGAAATGCAAAGTGTTCGCATGTGTCTGAAGTCCAAGTTCACTCCAGGGGATTTTACCTTTTGTTTTAATTTTCATTTCAGAAGAAATTTTGAGAACAATGCAGATGAAAGGCCTGCAGGGGACCGCTGCCCTTTCTAGGCGCGCAGGCCAGGAAATGCTTTCCGTCCTGAAGTTCGCCAAGTCCTGATACCATGTCTGTTCTGGATGATACTGGATCTGTTATATTTAATGTACATGAGTACATATCATACTGAATATAGTTATATGTGTGTGTATGTATTTACAAGCTGAATGTATTCACCATATTTTGAAACTGAAGTCATTTCTTTGTTAACAAGTAAAATTGTCAGAAATGGGTCACAGGGAAAAGGGGGGAAGCATATGGCACTTTCTTCCACTCAGGAGTCAAGCCTACAAAGGCATTTGCATGAGTGCAAGGAAATATATACATTATGTATAACTTGCTTCCATATATAAATGATACCTACATTATATATGAAAGGATACTCACTTCAGCATTACCTGTAATGGCAAAACAAGGGAATCAACCTATCAGCATCATTTAAGGGGCTGGTGAAATCCATCGCAGTGTATCCGTGGCACTGAATGCGAGTCACATCCAGCTGTTGAGTGAGTCGGATCTCGGGGTCCTGGACCAGCAGGGTGTTCAGGGTGTACCACTCAATAAACAAGCAGCAAGTAATGAACCGGTGCTGCGTGTGTTGGAGAAAGCAGCGGAGGGCAGGTGTGTGTGGTTCCGAGGAGGCCTCCGAGACAGCAGGTGGGAGTGGAGGAACCGCCCCTCTGTGTGGTAGCATTTGCATGAGGATAATGTGTTACTTGGGTAATTTTTTAAAGTTTTTTGTTTTTAAATTTTTTTATTCAATTACAGTTGTCCCCCTTCCCCCCATTACTCTCCCGGCCCTAGCCCCGGCCCTGGCCCTCCCCTCACTGTCCTAGTCCGTGGTTTTTCATACACACTCCTTACCTTGACCCTTGCCCTTCTCTCCCCATTACCCCCTTCTCTCTTGGCAAAAGTTTTTCACTTAAAAATATTTTAAAATTTAGTTTCACCTGCTTATTGTATTCATTCCATTACTGAGCATGCCTTCTGCTCTCATTCTCCCTGATAAGATTTTTCTTTTTTATCCTTTATCATATACTTCTTTTCAATCAAGGAAAATTGAAAATAAACTCATCACTCTTAATCCCATTTTTAAAAGCTTATACATGTCTGTCAGGAAATGTCAGATTACCCTTCCTGAACTCAGGGACCCCTTCTATGTCGTCCACGCCACTCCCACCACAGTCCAGGAGTAGCACCAGACAGGGCAGCACCAGCGGGAGCAGAGTCCGCCCTGTTCACCTCCAGTTTTGACCACCTGAGAATCAGGACGACCTGCACGAGGCTGCAAAGGTTACAAATTCCTAAACTCCAGCACAGACCAGTGGAATCTTCTGCTGCACAGACATACAAACTTTTAAATAAAAGTACTGCCCACCATTCCTCAGGACAAGCCCCCCAACTTCAGAACTGTTGTTAAGTAGCACTGCCGCGGAAGCCCTAGGGCAGCCCACGGGAGGAGGGGCAACTCCTCTCAGGTCAGAACTGTCAGAGCAGGGCCTGATTTGGCTTCGGCATCTGCAAGTAGTTTCCTTTCCTAGAAACAGTGCCATCAGAAATCTTATGATAAATAACCTCTTGTATCCCAGGAAGAAAAAAAGATAACCATAGAATTTTATCGTGGGCTCTTAGTCATCATTTTGGGGAATGGCATCTTGAAACCTGTGTTCACATAACGTCTGAAGCACTTAAATCAGTGTAGAGGACTTTCCATGAACATGAGACTTGAACAGAAATGCTTCATAAAGTAGACCCACAACTTCACATACACAACCATTATGGTCTGAATGTGAGCTGCTCATTCATATGTTGAAGTCCTGGTCCTTGGAACGTGACTGTAGTTGATACAGGGCCTTTGAAGAGAGAAGGTAAAATGAGGCCATGTCGGGGGGCTGACCCAGTGACTGGTGTCCTTGGAGAACAGTGGGTGGTGCAAGGAGGAAAGACCACCAGAGACCGCAAGCCGCCTGCAATCGAGGAGAGGCCTCAGGAGGTACTGAACTGGCTGAAAACCTTAATCTGGACTTCCAGCCTCCAGGACTATGAGAAGGTAACTTGTTGCCCACGCTGCCCAGCCTGTGGTGGTCTGTCGAGGCAGCCCTAGGAGACCCATGCGGTGGCTGCAGGCAGACATGGCGACACCACACACATGAGACAGCAGCACGGTGTGAAGAGTGGTGGTAACATCCTGGTGGTCAATGAGAGCTGGCCCCGGGCCACCTAGAGGAGGCTGCAGACACAGTGCCCTTGCCATTCAAAAGAGCCACTAAACACGGAAAAAGGAGGACTTGTAAAGTAAAATCACATCCTTTAGCCCAAGAGAAGCAGCAAGAAAATTAATTTTGGATCTTGAATGGAAAGAGAAGTAGTAATAATAACTAATCTATGAGAATTCAAACCCTACTGTTCTACGCTGTTGTAGGATTTATACTATCTGTGGGGTAGCAACATCAACATGAAAAAAATTAACATTGGAAGAATCCAGACCATCAATCCCCAAGCAGTTAAACTACAGCCAATAAGAGCAAGAAGACACAATAGAATCAGACACCTAAGGAATATAAACAGTGAAACTGATACATTCAGATTACAGAATGTTTGAGGATCTAACATCATCACAAAGAAAAGCACAGAAGATACTATTTACAAAGAAGAAATTTAAGACAACTTTTGAAAATGAAAAACAGGCCCTGGCTGGTGTGGCTCAGTGGGATGAGTGCCAGTCTGCAAAACAAAGGGTCGCAGGTTTGATTCTCAGTCAGGGCACATGCCTGGGTTGTGGGCCAGGTCCCCAGTTGGGGGTGTGTAAGAGGCAACCACACATGTTTCTCTCCTCTTTCTCCCTCCCTTAAGCTCTCTAAAAATAAATAAATAAAAATCTTTAAAAATAACGAGACATAGAATTGCTGAAGTAAGAAAACAACCATGGACAGTATAACCGATCTCCACAAAGAGAATGATTATGTCAGGTAGAATGGAAAGGTCTAGCAACGCAAGAGTCTCAAAAAGAATGTGAGAGAGGCGGTATTTGGAAAGACAATAGCCAATATTTCTCCAAAGCTGACTTTAAAAAGAAGATTGACCCTGGAAGCGTAAGCAGGACACAGGGGGGTCCTCACCCAGACGGACAGTGGCACTGCAGGGGCAGGGACCAGAAAAGTCAGTCAGAGGGAAGGGACAAGTCACCAGTAAGCAGGGCCGGTAAGCGTTTTGCAACTGAAATCTCAGAACACAGGTGCCCCGTCAGCCCTGCACTGCCTACGGCTGCTTTGGTTTCCAGATGTAGAGCAGAGTCACCACAGACCAGACCAAATACCTGCTGTTCGTCCCTGTAACTCTGCTACCCTTGCTATAAAGGAATGACAACTGAAGTAATTATCAATGATAATTAAAATACTTCTCAAACAGCCAGAATGGAGCCAGAAGTCAGCTAAAAGCCATCTTCAAAGAGCTAAGACTAACAGAATAAATCACCATACTGCAGCCGGTATATTTTTGAATTAGTGTCTTAATTTGGAATGCCATAGAAACATTTCTTAACTGCCTCAGGTATTGCTATAACATCGTAACACCAAAGGTGCTAATTATCTGATGCCTTGGTGCTACCCGAAAACATTGGTGTCCTTAAGAAGAATCCATCATAACAAAAAGACATTACTGAAGTTATTCAAATGGCACACCACACATTACACACCCTGCTGAGCCCAAAGTCCTTCTGCAAGGAAGTTTATAAAACAAAAACTCAGAAAGAGGAGGTTCAAGGATCCCACCACAAATACACATACTAATGTTTTGCCTTTAATTTTATGACCAAAGAGAGGATAACTGGGTTGTCAGACCTAAAGGATAAGATCTGTTAAATGTAGAAGAGCCCCCAGTCACACCAGAGAACATCTAAGAGGGAAATCTACCAAATTCTTCTCCAAGACAGCTTGTTGCGTTGGACAAATTGGTTGTGAAACCAAGGGGAGAGTAGGGGGACAAAGCAGCAGGAACACCTGTTCCAGGTACATCCAGGAGAGCAAGAGCAGAGGGCTGTTTCTTCAAGATTAACTGTCAAGATTAACTGTAAAGCACTTTAAAAAAAAAAAAAGAAAAACAATAGAATACAGAGCCTAGAAACCAAAACACACACACACACACACACACACACACACACACACACACACACACACACACACACACACACACAGATGTGGGAACGTGAGACCAGGCCCCACAACCACAGGGACCGGTATACTGCTGAATAGCCAATGCTAAGGAGCCAGCTATCAACATGGGTTATGACTGCCACCTTACAACAGCCACATCATTTAATTTCAGGAAAACTAGCACGGTGTGTTTTTAAACCTCAGGGAACAAACAAAATTTTACAAGAAAAGAATGCTAAATCTGACTAAATTTAACTGGAAATTCTGTATAACTGAAGACAGCTACAGACCACGTTCAAGTCCAGCCCTGTACTAGAAGCAACCCTGTAATAGATAAACCATTATGATCAATATGAACACAAGTCATCCAAGAGAAAAATAAGCATATAGATAAGAAACTCACAAAATAATGAGCAATAAATGTATGAAAGAAAGCTAATGTTGTCGGTAGCCAGGTAAATACAAATAAAAGCAAAGACCTACTGTCTCAGAGCTTGGACTGGGAAACTTTAAACCTCTGGTGAGACAGCTTGGTGTGAAGAGGAGGAGGAAGAGGAGGAGAGAGAGGAGGAGGAAGAGGAGGAGAAAGAGGTGTGCAGGTCCAGTGCAGACCTGCACACCAACCACTGTGGAGCAGTGTGACAACGTCCGTGGCCACAGAGTGCAGAAACTCCTGCCAGCAATTCTATCTTGGGGCACTTGTGCAGAACACTCAGCCCATTTGCATGAGAACACGTTATCAAGAATGTACGTGTGCAGCCCTGTCCAAAATGGCACAACAAGGACAAACACGAACAACTGGGACGGCCATCGGTGGGGGAACTGGTGAGTGAGCTGGTACTGTGCAATGCTCAATGGCAGTGATGGCGTGAAAAAGCAAGTGATGAAACACAACATACAACAGCACATCACCAGTATAAATGTGTAAGAAATTGCTGTATACTATCTATGGACACAAACAGGTATTCATAAACATGAAGTGGTAAAGTATGAACTCTTCAACAGGAAGGAATCCAACCAACTTCAAGTCACCAGATTGGCTCCAGGGAGGGACAGATGTGTCCTTGGGGAGGACTGCAAGAGAGTAACATTTCATTTCTGTAAAATTCAGAAGCAAGCCCTGACCTGTGTGGCTCAATGGATTGGGCACCATTCCACAGAGAGGAAACCATTTGTGGTCAGGACACCTGCCTGGGCTGCGGGTTTGGTCCTGGTCAGAGCATACAAGAGGCAACCGATTGATGTTTCTCTCCTCCTTTTTCTCCTTCCCTTCCCCTCTCTTTAAAAACATATAAAAATTTTTTAAATAAATTGAAATAAAAATGGCAAAATAGTTTGTGAAGAATACAAGAGCATTTATATTGTATTATTCTGTACATCTGACATTTTGTAATTAAAAAATTTAATGAGCACATGATAAACAATCAGATAACATTAATTATTCACAGCAAAAACTTATTTAGTAATAACATTAATTATTCAAGCCACAGAAACTCAAATACATACATTAGAGCATGTGATAAATAAGAGTTAAAAATAAAATCTGAAATTTGCAGTTTACATTGGGGTTTTAAATTAATAATTCTGCTAATGGGCTTTGAATCTCATGCGATTTTAAAATGTCCGTGTGCTACAATTTTAAGAGATGCTCTCTAGAGCCACTGAAGGTACATAAATAAAACTTTATTGTGGTATTCTGAATCTCAGTCTTGTTTTGGAAAGTTTTCTTTTGAGCGTACACATAGCAACATGCTTCACAGGTATGTGTAAAACCCCCAGTGTGTGCGTCTAGAGGCCTAAGTGCAAGGAGTGGGTGCCCGACCCAGTACAGGTTTCTTCACAGGACACGGGTACCTGAACCTCACCGGGGAAAACGTTTTGAGGTTCCACCATTCCCTTCTCTTTTCTACTTGCGGTTTGGGTCGGGAACCAGGAAGTAGCAATACTGCAAAAGTTAAAGGCAGGCTCCTAATACAGAACAATTATTACAGAAAAAGTGTGTAACTTTCAGAGTACCATCACAGTCCTTTGGGTTCGTCCCTGTGTCAGAGAGAGAGACACGGGGAGTGTTTTAAGAAAGGGGTTAAGAAGAGGTAGAAGAATTCTGCGGTCTGTGCGCCACCTACTGCTCTCTGAGCCTCGAGGCTGCCAGGGTGACAACTGCAGACAAAGCGCAGGATCGGGCCAGGGCAGGACCCCGCACCCGCGGCCCCCCCCAGGACCCTTCTGACACACCTACACTGTCAATAACAACCAGGCGATGGCAGCCAGGTATTTCGTCCGACAGGAGTGGCTTTTGGCCAATGACACGCCTGCGACGGAGGTGCGGGGCCGCCCCTTCCCACTGCCTGCTGGTGTCGCCCTCTCCACAGGCCGCTGCACGAGGGCTCCTCCGGGTCCCGAGCTCCCACACTGCGCATCCTGGGCAGTTTCTGCGGTGACAGGCAGAAGGCAGGCTCCTCCTGCGGCACTTCGGCCTATCACACTCCATTTTACATTGCACTTGGCGCTAAAATTCTTAACGGCACTGGAAAAATCAGGTCCCTCAAATCTAATTTAATGTAACTTTGGCCGGTAAAGAGCGAAATTCGCTTACGAAATTGAAAGTGGTCTATAGCATTTAAACATTTTTTTGTGTTTTTTCCACCCGTCTTAAGTTCCGTAAACACTCACCCCCCCACCGCGTCCAGAGGGCGGCCACCCTCCGCGACACAATAACCCAACGCCGGTTCCGGCAAAGCCTCTCTCTCCGGACTCCGGTGGGGGCGCGGGACCCACACGGAAGGACAGTCGTCGGCTGGGCTGGGGGCACCGGGCACCGGCGCCGCCCGCGATAAACAGGCACCCCGCACAGCTGAGATTTCGGGGCAGGCTTTCAATGCCTTCGGATAAACTGTAGTGACAGCTTCGTGTCGTTCTTGTCATTAAAATAATCTACAAACATCAGAATTCTAATTTTGTTGTTATAAGTAATAAATCTTAAAACACTGGTTGGTATAAACGACCCTCTCCACTCACCAGCCTCACTGGACTGTTCTGGAACACGGATCAATGCAACGCTCTCACAAATTACAGATCTGGAATTTAGGGTTCTCCATGTTTATTTTTAAATATACAAAGAGATTAAACTATTAGTATAAATATTTTCTCTGAAATATGTACTAGTCGCATGGACAAGAAAAGGACTCTAAACACTTACAACGCCACCTACAGGTGAGCGGGCGGTTCCGGCCTCGCACCTACCGCGCGGCTTCCGGTTCCAGCCGCAGCCTCCGTGGGCAGCGCCCCCGCTCAGGGGCCACTTCCGGGAGAGACGCCTCAGAGGAAGGTCTCGCGGCAGAGTGGACACGTGGATTTGTTGCTAGAGGTAAACCATTTATACTGGAAAAAAAGGTTTTAAATGTGAAAACTTTTTAAGTTTTAAAAACTGGCATTTTACCTAAAGCAACCTTAAAACACCTCGAATACTCGAAAGCCCCGCCCCTTCATCTCCACAGCAACAGCACTTCCTGAGCCTGAGTCCGGCCCCGCCCAGCACGGTCCGCCCACCGAGGGTCCCGCCCACCGAGGGTCCCGCCCACCGAGGGTCCCGCCCTGGAGACGGGAGCAGGCAAAGCAACGGGCTGTTCAGTGTGAGGGATGCGCTGCCGTGAGCTCGGATGCCAGTTGGCCCTCAGCTCCCCTTCTCTGTCTCCTTGTAGACCTCACAAGACCAGCTGTTTTCTTCGGTGCTGTACTAGAAATACCCAGTGATTACAATGCTCCCATTAACTACAGCTGAGGTTATCTTCCATTGTTTTCTTGTCAGACATCACAGATACATAATGTATACAACCTAATAAATGTTCATTTCCTTTTAGACTCACCAGACAGGCTGAGTGGAATTTTTTCTTGCATGTTCTACAGGCCTTTTTGGGAAGAGAATAGTTGAAACCATGAATGACTGAAAAGCAGATCATACAGTCTTCAACACCCTCAAAGCGCTTGTCCACATTATTTTTCCACAATGCTAAGCCCTCCATTATACTTCCATTCTGTTAACAAGAAGAAAGACAGAGTAAATGTACACTGAAGACAACCAACTAGTCATTTTGACCCAACTTCAAAAATTCTAGCCCTGGCTGGTGTGGCTCAGTGGGTTGAGCACCAGCCTGTGAACCAAAGGGCTGCCAGTTCGATTCCCAGTCAGGGCACATGCCTGGGTTGTGGGCCAGGTTCCCAGTAGGGGGTGTGTGAGAGGCAACCGCACATTGATGTTTCTCTCCCTCTCTCCCTTCCCCTCTCTAAAACAGCAAATAAATAAAAATCTGTTTTAAAAAAGTGAAAGGTCTTTGAAAGTACAGGGATTTCAATAACCACAGAAGGAGAGTTGAAACATTAGAGTAAAAGTAGGTCAAAAGACATTCATCTGTCCAGCACCATACAAAGAAATTCATTCTCAACAATGTCATTAGTAACATGCATTTTCCTACATCATCTACAATGTCAATGAAGTCAAACCAATTCTTCTCCAACACCACAAAGAGAAAATTGTAGAGCTTTAAAAAGTACACCCGGTTGGCAGGCACAAGTCATTCAGGCATGTTATCTGTGCTCATCCAAGGACCTGTAAGGTCTCATGGCACCTCAAGCAGAGAGATGTATTTTAGGTTCTGCTGTCGCGTCCTGCAGCAGCTCAGCAGCTGCAAACCCACCTGGTGGGTGAGGTAGGTGCTCAGCTGCAGCATCCAGTTGCGCCACTGCTGCACTGCCACGCCCACGCGCCGCCCACTCCCCACAGCAATGGAGCCCAGTGGGTAGTTGGCAGGCAGCTGTATTATCAGCTCAATGACTATGTCCTCGATGGTGTAAGTGGCCATGACCTCTCGAGTAGCAGCTCGAGCTTTGACCTGCAACACATGAACAGTGATATTGTTTTTCCAAATATCTTCCCTTCTTTTCATTCAAAAATCATTTCCATAGGTTGACTGTGAGAAGCGAAGTTTCCATTCAAAGAAAACATAAGTAAACACATTCATGTATTTAATAAATACCTAACATTCAGTTTTCCTTTGGTATCCATGAGGACCCGCTGCAGGACCTGCCCCCCTTGTCCCCCCAGAACAGAACCTGCAGGGCTCGAGTCCCTGGTCCTGCAGGTCCAAATCCCTGGAAACCATCCCTGCTTTTCCATCCGAGGCTGGCTAAACCTGTGGATGGAGACCCACAGATAAGGAGAGCCAACTGTATTTTATAGAGATTTTATGACATTCAAAGTTTGTTTTACAAAAAATACATTGCTCATAAAACATTGTATTTTATAAGGTTGACCATATAATACTAGTAGTTTTTTAATAGAAATGACAGAATGGGTTAATAATTATTCCCTGTCTTCCAACATATCAGGTGCTATGTAATACTGGATGTCTCCCAAGTCTTTCTCTACCACAGAATTCTCCTGAATTGACAGTCAAAACATTTATACCCAATTTTGGTCTTTGTATCTAGTACTGTAAACAACATAAAACACAAATGACCACCCTTCACAAATGTATTCTTAAGACTTTCCTATTTCCAGGCTAAAGACCACAGTACCATCTTCAATTCCCCCTTCTGCTCTCCACCAGCTGCAAGTCTGAATGAACCCCCGCCCAGCTTCCCTCCCCACCAACACTGCCTCGCTCAGGCCACCCCGCGCTCACAGCAGCCACCTGTCTTCCCACAACGCTGTGGTCCGGCCTGCAACCCTGGCTTCCTATCAGAGTCACAGCAATGTCACCTGACAGCTAGGACCCAAGAAACTTCCCAGTGAATAAACAGGGACAAACATTTAAAACTGTTACCCGAGGCCAACCCCAGCGTGGCCTCACTCATTACAGGAGCCACCTGGTCTGCGACGCTTCGCCTGCAGGAGCCCCACTCTGCACGAACATCAGGTGACTCTTCCTTTCTGAGACAGTCACAGCCACGCCATGTGCTGCTACCACACCGTGATCTCCACACTTGATGCCCACGTTGCCCCAGGACAAACTCCTGCTTGCCTCACAGCGGCTTCCTCCATCAAGTCCCCAGCCCCTCTGCTGCTGACCCCCCAGCGTGCTCCCAGAGCGCCCTTCCTACCCACGTGCCGTTGTCCAGTTCCAGTGCAAAACCCACAGTCAGTGTTTCTCCTCCCTTGCACTGGGTGGCCCGGCCCCACGGCTAGCACTGCCGCCTGGTGTCGGTTCAGATGCCGCAAGACAAGTTTCCGTGAACCGATGAGCGCTGGAGGACTGGGCTAGTGGCTCTGCACGACCAATGCATCAGCACTGGGACCCGCCAGCACGTACAGTGGGCGGTTCCTGCGAGTCCTGGCCCCGTGGGCACACTCGCTGCCGACATCAGACTCCACATTTAAAACCACTTTTCCAGAACCAACTCAGGAGCATACTAACCGTCATGCCATTAAACAGCTGTGTGCTGGTCTGCACAGAAGAAATTTCCTGGAGAGAGAGCACACTGCTGACGTACTTGCTCGTGAACCTGTCCACAATGTTGAAAACCCGCTTCTCACTGCTGTTCCACCACAGCCGGACCATGGCGGGCAAGTCCTTCAGGGTCATGTGGTAGACCGAGCACGCCAAGTGCGGAATGTGGTACGGGAGAGTCGTCATTTCTGAGAAAAAGGCAAACTCTGAGTAATGTGGATTTCGTACACAGAATAACAGACTACTATGAGTCTTTTCCTTAGAAAATCCTAATTCCTCAACATGAGTGCTAGAGCTAATAAAAAAAATTACCAAAGAAACTGGAATTCTACAGTACTAGCTTTTCCTTATGTATTTAAAATGAACCCTTAGGATGGCAAAAAGAAGTAAAAGATGATCTGAACTGACACTGGAAAATCTGCCCAGAAACAGCATTCTGCATTTCACATGAAAAGTCACAGGCACATGAAACACACAGAGTGATGAAGGAGGGACAATGGAAGATAACAGCAAGCTGGCCTCCCTCACTCCCCGCGTCACTGCTGTGTCTGCGGTGGCCTAGGACCCCGGCTCGGCCTCCCCGCCCCAGCCTCACAGCTCCATGGCATTTTCAAAATTATCCTCTGGATTCGATAGTAACACGCTAGTACTGCTAGTTGCCTGTCCCCTTAGCTGAAATCTGAGCTCCCACACTGAAGGGAGTACATCTTACTCATCTTTGTTTCGCCTACAAAACATTATCACACAACAAATACTTATTTACAGAGTAAAAGATAAGTCTCAGCAAACTAGGTTTTAACCACTTACGACATCCTCAAAGACCTCACCCACCAATCTCCCATCAGTAGGACCTGATGCAGGTCCTACTCAGAGAAGCATGGAAATCCTTGCACTTGGGCTCACATCTGGGGCCATGTCCCACCCATAGGTCTGAATCTCATGTGCAGGAAAACACACACATGCGCACGAGCGCACCTCACCCCTCACTGACCTCTGATGCTCAACTGCAGCTCTTCCGTGAAGAAAGTCTTAGGTTCCTTGTTAGAGAACTCAGAAGCCACCTCTGCACAGGTCGGATTTTCTGGCATGAGCCTGAACAGGTGATAGAGCAGTTTATTTAAACTCTTTGTTTTCCGGAGGTACATTGAATACAGAGCCCGAAGCTGGTGGAAAGCAAACACCTGTTAGTAAGCCTATTAAAACAAGGTAACTGATAGATAAGAACAAATCAAAGTATAACAGACTACACAACAGCGCCATACAAAACAACTAATGTGAGCACTTAGAATTGCATCCAGGAATTCTACCAAAGGGATGCCATGTCCTGACCCTCCCTGTGTGCCATCCAACGCCACCACTCCATACCGTGTGACATGTGCTTCTAACGTCCTCCTGAAATCACCTGCCTGTTCCCACCGTCACCTCCTCAGAGGACTTGCTGTCCATCCCCACGCTCCTCCACACCACAGTCCTGCATCCTTCAAAATGTTGCCTAAAACTAATTCCATTTCCATGGCCGACCCCACCCTGTACGAAACACTCCACCCCGCTTCAGGACAGAGAGTGCAGACCAGAAATTTGACATGTCTTCTTTCATAAATCAGGAAATGTCACACAAAAATATGGATTTCTGTTTCTTTCTTAAACTAGGAGAACCTGGCCCCATGGGCCATGCTGTGGCCCCTGGGAGGCCCAGGCGTTAGAGCTCCTTGTCCCTCAGTCACACCAAGGTTTTCACGGGCTCATGGAGACAGCACAGCTTTTTGTACCTGTTTTTCAATGATTTCTTCCAGCTCCTCACAGGACAAAGGGCCCGTTTTCTAAACACCATGTATGCTCAAATACAGGGATCAAGCCATGGGAATTGGAACTGATTCTTTTTAAGATTTTATTTGTTTATTTTCCAAGAGGGGAAGGAAAGGAGAAAGAGAGGGAGAGAAACATCAATGCATGGTTGCCACCCAAGCGCCCTGCACTGGGGACCTGGCCTGAAACCCTGGCACGTGCCCTGACTGGGGATCAACAAGGCCACCCTTCAGTTCACAGGTTGGCACTCCAGCCAGGGCTAGAATTGAGTCTTAAAATATCTTGATCGATGTACCTTTACCATGGAGAATTCCGGCAGACACTAATGTTACCAAGTAACCAAACCCAGTGTTACCAATAAAGGACACACTGACGCTCTGTGCCCCCAGAGGTAAGAAAATGAGGACACGTCACCATGGTGGGGGGTGCAGCACCCTGGCGGAACATTAACCAGAATCTAACCACGAGGCAATAATCAGACACACCCAAACTGTAAGACAGTCCACTAAATTACTGACCTGTGAAATGACAGCAAAGAGAAGAAAAGTGGGAGCTACAGGCTAAAGAAATATGGCAACAAGTGCACCCACAACCCTTCACTCCATCCTCCACAGAGAGGGAGGGACAGCTGTGATGAACACATCAGTACCATTACATCCAAAAAATTTCAGTGCAATAATTATATTACTTCCGTGTAAATGTGTCCTTGTTCTTGGGGTATATGTATTGAAAGACTTTTGGTAAAGCATCATGATGTCTTCAATTTACTTTCAAACAGATAAGCAGGGAAAAAGTAAATATAAAGAAAGCATGCAAATAAATGTTAAAAATCTGTGACTGTAGGAAAAATGTATGTGACTTCATCAAATTATTCTTTCAATTTCTCTATAACTGAAAATTTTCAAAATACAAAGTAGAAAGGAGCCCTGGCTGGTATATCTCAGTGGACTGAACGCAGGCCTGCAAACCAAAAAGTTGCAGGTTCAATTCCCAGTCAAGGCACATGCCTGAGTTGTGGGCCGGGTCCCCGGTGGGGGGCTTATAAGAGGCAACTACACACTGATGTTTCTCTCTCTCTCTTTCTCCTTCCCTTCTCACTAAAAATTAAATAAAATCTTTTAACAAGTAGAAAGGAAAGGAGAATTTAAAAGAATTCATCATATATATCAAATGGGCTTCTAAAAATATAAATGTTACCTAACAATCCCACTCCCAGATGTATAACACAAGAGCCGTGAAAACATGTCCACACAATTCACACATGAACGTCCGCAGCAGCTTCATTCACAACAGCCCCAAGTGAAAGCAGAAGCGCCCATCAATGACGAATGTGTCACTCTCACAGTGACACGGGACAATACTGTCCAGCCATAAAAGGGAACCCAGCACTGATGCATGCTGCAACATGAAAGAACCATGAAGACACGCTACGTGAAACAAGCCAGGTGCAGAAGGCCATGTGTACGAATGTCCATAGTTGGCAAGTCCAGAGATGGACACAGACTGGGGGTTGCCAGGGGCTGGAGGGTTGGAGAGGCAATGGGAAGTGATTGCTGATAGGTGAGGGTCTTCTTTCCCAGTGCTAAAAATGGTCTAAGTTACATAGCGGTTTCAGTTCAATCGGACTCATTAGGAGTTTTTGACCAGGTTTAGGACCAAATAAGGTTTATTTCTTTAAAATTCTGTTATAGGATCCATCTACATTTTTTTTATTTATAGGACCCTTCTAATCACTGCTTTTGGGGCAACACTCTGGTTCATCTGTCCACAGCTCCGGGCAGGCTGCAAGCTCACGCAGGCGCCCATTAACTAGTTGTGTCCCTCCAGCCTCTGGTTCAATGGAAAAGATGGAGAGTGGCCAGTGTCCAGATTTATGAATATGTAGTGACAAGACAAAAACTCCTTCATACACACACTGGCCTCAATTCTCTGCAATATTCTGGACATCAACAATATTTTAAAAAACAAATGTAGAAGATTGGTGTAGCCACTGTGGAAAACAGTATGAAATTTCCTCAAAATACTGAAAACGGAACTGTCTTTTGACCCAGCAATCCCACTGCTAGTATTACACCCTAAGAATCCTGAATCACCAATTCAAAAGAACCTGTGCACCCCAATGTTCATAGCAGCATTATTTACAGTAGCAGTAGCCTAGTGCAAGAAGCAGCCTAAGCACCCATCAGTATATGAGTGGTATATTTACAAATAAATGGAATACTTGGATCAAAAAATGGTGGTAGAGGGGCGGGGCGGGGGGGGGGCTGGGATGGGAGAAATAGACAGAAAACTGTACTTGAAAAATAATAAGTAAAATTATTTTAAAAAAAGGTGGTGCATTTACACAATGGAATACTACGTGACGGAAAGAAAGAGGGAGCTCCTACCCTTTGTGACAGCATGGATGGCCCTGGAGAGCATAGCACTAAGTGAAATAAGACAGGTGGTGAAAGACAAATACCATATGCTCTCACCTATAAGAGGAATCTAATGAGCAAAATAAACTAACGAGCAAAATAACCCAGAGGCAGGAAAACATGGGACAGACACTGGGCAAAGGGGAAAAAGCAGCTGGGGGAAGGAAGGGGAAGGGTCTAGTGAAGGGACATGCATGACTGACCCAGGGACATGGACAGCGGTGTGGGGACTGACTGTGGGAACAGGGGTGAGCTGAGTGGAGGAGGGCAAAGGGGGAAAAATCGGGACAACTATAATAGAACAACTGAATAAACAAATACATACATATATACACACTAAAGAAAAAAAAAGAGAGAAACCAATGTTAAAGCCCAACAGTGAGCTATTTGTCACCAGCAAACAAAACTAGCTGAGGGCACTCTCTGCAGGCCCAGAGAGGACAGGGCCCCCACAGCCCGGCTGTGCCGCCTCTGCACCGCGGTTTCCCCCTCGGAGTGGCGAACGCTAACATGCACACGTGGACACGTCTGTGCCGAGACACGGGTCACTTCCAACAACACAGCTGTAATCCACACATTCTGAAAAGTCACATCAGAAATGAACACCATACTTTCAAAATGAAGTGATAAAGTCTTGACCTGTCAAAGAAGTTTAATTACAGTGATTGAATCAAAGTTTGTTAGCAATTTTTAAAGTCAGTATCTGCTTAAAACAATCTTTAAAAAAAGGAATAGATTTTCCGAGCCTTCTCCCTAAACATAAGGTGGTGGAGCCATCTGGTGCCTGCAGCATAGTTGCAGCATATTGCAACAGGCTATTTTCAGCATTTAGGGATAACACCTTGAACGACATAGGTAATGCTTTGCAGCTCTTCCTCTAAACCATGACTTTTAAACGAGATAAATTTCCTTAGGACAGGACTGTCAAAAGCTGCCCCATACTCACTGACCTGAGAGGAAGACGCTTTGAAGAAAGTCAGTACTAACTTCCAGGTGAGGAGGTAGCCCAGGACATGGCAGAAGTCTTCACTCAGTGGCTTGATCGTGACGATCTGTCCCACAGGAACAGACCCCAGGACGCTGTCCAGTAGGTCCTCCTGAGTGCTGAGCAGGGACATCAGCACCCCTGGCGGGGACCTGTGAACAAGGGGCCAGCACAGTCATCCTCACACCTCACCCCGTTAGCACACAACCACACACGTCACCCTCACAGTCCAGAAAAACGTTCTGTTTTCCAAACACCACTCTCAAAGTCTCCCTTTGTAAACTTAGCTTTAACTCCCAATTTCACATAATGGTAATTACACAACTTAAAAGACATAAAATATACAAATATATATGACTTATCTATAAAAATATATGTATTATACATGTTTTTGTTTATAAACATGTAAATGTAAAATGTGTATGTAATACACTAAAGTAACATACTACATGTAAAATACTTATAACAAACATGACACACACTATAACCGTATAGACTATAGAAGTTACCACTTAAAATCCCTTTTAGAAAACACCTATTTCAACGTTGTTTTGTAGATGAAAAAAAAAAAAATCACCTACCCAGACAGGCTGAAATGACCCCAGTCCCTCAGCACACAGGGACACCAGGGGCGGCCAAGTCCCACCAGGCCCTCTCACCCAGTAACGCGCGGAGACCGCACGACCCTCCGTTGTCTCAGGAAGTTCACCATCAACTCACGACTGCGCCAGTTATGCGTGGCCATCGGAGCCCCGGTGTGTGGGAGCCCTGCTGAGTACTGCTCCCCCCTCACACACGTTCCTGTCCCTGTGCTGCCTCCTCCTGCCCCAGCACCGGGGTCTTCCCGCTCCCGCACACAGGTGCCCCCCGACACCACCCTCACACACCAGCCTCTCTTCCAGGCAGCAACAGTCACCAGGCTTCACAAGCACTGGCTCAGCCACCTCTCCCTTTCCATGCCGCCCGCCCGCACGTTACAATTCCTGGGACGGTCTCCACTCCTGCTTGCTTCTGTGAATGATTTGTGCTTCCCGCTAGTGCCAGCATCAGCTGGTAATATCGCACCTTGTACAAATAATGTCCAAATCCTAAAAAATGTCATTTGTAAGTACCCTCCCAGCTTTGTCTGCTATAGGGCCTCGTCCCCCGGCCCCACACTGGTTTGTTTATTCTTTCCTCCACAAATGAGCACCACTCCCGAGTCTGGTCTAGGCCAGGAACCATTCTGGGTGTTGTGCAAATAACCGAGGAGAAACAAAAAATCCTTGTCTCCCTGGAGCTTGTGTCCCGTGGAAGAAGATGATGAAGATATAAGTTAATGCGGTGACGGCGCGACACGCCCAGCACACCCCGAGCACCGCGCCGCCCCACCACTGTGCCAGGGGCTCCCTGCACCTGCACGGCTGCCGGCCCAGCCAGCACGCTGCCCACCCTGAGGGGCCCAGCACGGCTGTCACTTCTACAAGACACAGTCTCCCCGTCCCGGGGCACAGCCGGGTGGCCCTGTAACATGCCACTCATCCTATTTCTCAGCACCTGCCACACACACTGGCTTCTACTACAGGTGCCACTGTCGGCCACAGACTGCAAGCTCCTTAAGAACGAGAACATCTGTTAAATACCGCATTCTTCTCTCAGCATTTAGACAATGCTTCACACAAAACAAGGTGCTCCACTGATATTTTTGGCCATTAAAGATACCACGTGGCCAAAAAGAATTCTTTACTAAATAGTAGCGCACTGAATATATGATTTAGGAGCAATTAAGATACAACAGGACCGATCCTTTGGATGAATGCTAGGTCGCACTGCCGCCTACAGGTGGTTGTAACAGGTGAGAGAGGGAAGACACACTCTGCGCCGAGCGCCTCCGCGGTGCCCGTCTCCGGAGGTCGCTGTAGGTGCGACAGATGACGAGAATGCAATAAAACACACTATTAAAAATCTTACAGGGCTGGTTCTTCCTCTTCATCTCCGTCTGACTTTAGATTATCCTGATCATATTGTGGTAATTCTGGCATCAACCTGGAAATCAGAACATTATTTTATTTTAAATTGTCTGTTGTAAAAATTACGCTTACGAGCGGAAAAACTAATACTTATCTAGTAATAGAAATACTCTAATGTTTTCTGAAATAACTACCTGTGGCCAGGACTATCTAAAGATAAACTGTGGATGGAGAACGGCGAACCAAAAGACCAAACACTTGGCACTGATTGTCATTAAAAAATGCATGGTCATGTTTACTTTGTTTTCATTTTCTTTTTAACTTTGAAACTTTTAAAAGAGTTTACTCACTTATTTTTGGAGGGGGGGAAGGGAGGGATAAAAAAGGGAGAGACACATCAATATGCAGTCGTTGCTTGCGCACCCCCCACTGGGGACCCAGCCCACAAGACAGGCATGTGCCCTGACTGGGAACGGAACCAGCGACCCTTTGGTTCGCAGGCCCACGCTCATCCCACTGAGCCACACCAGTCAGGGCAACTTGGATATTTTTAGTGACGACGAATTAAAACTAAATTCATACTCCATTTTTTGGAGCACCACAACACTGATTCAGAATTCTTACTTGTACAGCATGTGATAGGCAGCAATCTGCACGGGCCGAGCTCTGAAGAGGAGTAACGGGGCCAGTGTGTTTAGCAGAGTCTGGAGGTGCTCCGGCAAGTTTGTTTTCTGCCCAGCAAGTGACCTTGCAGGGAGCTTGTGACTCAACAGGTGGTCCTTTGTGATGTGTGTTAACGTTTCACACATGGGTTTTAGCATTGCATTCTGAAAGGATGTTTCAGATGTATCTTTGCTCTGTTCTGATGACAAAAAGGAAAAAGGTGTATATATCCCAAAACAAAGCAGGCAATGCAGCTTGACCAACTCACAGATAATCAAATGTTATTAGAGAAAATGACGTAACACCTTGACAGACATTAACCCCTTGCAACTAGAAACGTAAACTGAACATATATAACATCAAATGATCTCAACTGTTCAATGACTTCCAGCATCTCATTTTGAAAAAGGACAGAGAGGCTAGAGTTACACAGGACCTCTCTGTGTCGTCCAAGTTGCTGTCACTGTAATCTGCAGTGGTCTTTGATGCCCTGTCGTTTTTCAACTCGGATCAGGAACCGAGTGCACGGTACTGCCGAGGGGCCTGGCTTTCTCTCCGGTCTCTTCTCTGACTATTCTGCCCTGTTTGACTTAAACATCCCAAGACATTCTGAAATTTCTGACAAGTGATTCTTAATGAATCTCCCCTTTTTACTTGCCTGTAACAGTAACCAAAAGAGGTAAGAGCAAACTGTGGATGCCTTGGGAAAAAAATTCTTTCCATTCACTGATCAGATTTGCAGGGAGGCGGCCCACGGTGTCTGGAGTTGTGGAATCGAAAAAGGCACTCAGCTCACAGGCCAGACCGCAGCTGACACAGGCAAACAACTGCACCAGGGGCACGTGGCACAGCGTGTGGTTCTCGCTCATGGTCTACAGAAAACCAAAGTTACACAGGTCAGCAGACCTCTGCCAGAAAATAAAAAAATCAAGGCAATACTGAATGAAAGTCCCTTTCATTTCTCTACGTTTTACAATAAAAAGCAACTGAAGTGTATATACAGTCTCAGAAGACATTTATATAGTTTACATCAAAATTACTTTTTTCAAAATTAAATAGTACAAATTAGAATCAACGCATTTATTTTGAAATGCTTTTTATTTCTAAAACTACAGAAGAAAATAGTATCAATTACCAGTTACCAAGTAAAACACATTAAAAACATCATCTATTATCTTCTCGGGAGCCATAATTAGGCATCATTAAGTTATTTTAAAATATGCAGTATGAGACTCAACTAGGTCCAATGAAAACCCCCAAGCCACACAGCATCCAGCCAAGAGCAGGTGCAGCGGCCGGGCGAGTCCAGGCCAGTGCGCCCCGCCCAGCGCGTCATGGGGAAGCCTGCAGCAGGGACGTGCCAGGCTGCTCTGGGCCAGGACCACACTGGTTCCCTGCGAACCCGTTTGACCTTTGAGGGTTACTCTGGCACAGGGACACCTGGGCCTGAAGAACAGTGAGAATTAGAAAGTCCACAAAGCTGGCCACGGAGAGACGAAGCCAGCGAGGGCTGTGCGGCGGCTGTTCCACCGCCACGAGCCCATGGGGAGGACTGTCTGACAGCAGTTAGGCGCCTGGTCACGGATGACACTGGCCAACACCAAAGCTGTCATTTCACTGTCAGTGAGACCATGGCGGGCGAGGAGCACACAGCCACAAAGGCACTGAGGACGGCCACTGGATAACACGCTGGTCGACAGTTCTGGACTGAGCCCCACAGGGAGACCCGGCAGTGGTCACGAGACGCCGGGTGGCCCTACCTCCAGCCAGGCCAGCATGCAGCACATGACGAAGTCCCACTCACTCTCGGCCAGCAGAAGGGAGCAGCACTTGAGGGACAGGGAGAGGAACCGCATCACCTCTATGTTCATTCCCAGGACCTCTGGACTCACTTCGGATAGATTACTGGGAGAAGGACAGAAGCAAAGCAAACAAAAAAGCGTGACAGAATTTTGTGGACCTTCTTGTAGAAACATTCTATTTTAAATCTTATATTCTCATAAAAGAGTGCCTTAGGTATCTACCATCCTATTACTTCACAAAGCTGTGACTATAAAATACATATTCTACCTCTAGATTGTACACAGGTAAGGAAACACAGTATAAAGTATCACCTACCAACTGAAAAGAAAAATGTCTTCGTGGTCTACCTTCCAGCACATCAGGATTTTCAGGACACCGTGCAACAGCTCCGCATCATCTATGCTTCTGGTTTGCAGACAAGAATTTAAAATGGCAAGATGTCCAAAACCTCCTGTAATAAAATTCAAAATGAAAATTAAAGTCTTGTTCTTGCTAATGTGGCTCAGTGGACTGAGTGCCAGCCTATGAACCAAAGGGTCACTGGTTCAGGTCCCAGTCAGGGCACATGCCTGGGTTGTGGGCCGGGTCCCCACTGATCAACCGATTTGAATTTAACGGATTCAAAATCAAATTGGTTGATCAATGTATCTCTCGCACATTGCTGTTTCCCTCTCTTTCTCCCTCCATTTCCCTCTCTATAAAAGTAAATAAGTAAAATCTAAAAAAAAAAAAAAAAAAAGTTTTTTAAAATTGTACTGCTACTAAAAAGGTCTACTCTGACACACATTAAAACTCTCTTGAGAAGTTCTAGGGGTTGAGGGGGTGTTAGAAGTGCCAACCCCCATGCAGTTGAAAATCTGCATGTAACTTTTGCCCCTCCCACAACTTCCATCATCCCTCCGTATCTGTGGGGAACTGGTTTCAAGACGCTCAAATCTGTAGATGCTCAAGTCCCTTATACAAAATCACCTGGAACAGTGCACAGTCGGACCCCCTGCACTGCAGGTTCCCGCTGCAGAGAGAAAACACTGGCACACACAGGGAAACCGTGCCTTTACTGAAAAGAACCTGCGCAAGGGAGGACCCACACAGCTCTATCTGCTGTTCAAGGGCTGGCTGTTTAATGCCTTTACTCTTCCTTTAGAGGTACAGAAAGGTTTAAAAAAAAAATCTGGCTGGCAAAATAGAAGAGAATTGTGGTACAGGGTAGGCAAAGGTAGTTTACAGTTGTTTGTATGGAAAAGACAACAATAATAATACAAGAATAAACTCACGTACTCACAACTGTAAACCTACTTAGGCCTTGCCCTAAGTAACCAGAAATAATTGATATTCTAAGAACTAAGCGTATTTGTTAGCTAATTCTGTTTCATCAGTTGGGCTGCAAGAGCAAAACTGGTTGTCAAACATCAAAAACGTCTGTCCTCCTTCAGTGTCCCCCCTGCCAGGCCTGCACAGGGCTGTGCACCTTCTGGGCAGTGGCACCGCCATCCACCCCTGCCCCCCCCTCTGCTGTCCTGGGTGCAGCCTGTGCTGGACATATCAGCTGCTCCCACCAGGTGCCCCTCTCCTCTGTGCACTTGGGTTGACTGCTTTCTGCTGCAGAACTGCCCAGAAAACTACTGTTGGCACAGGCTGGTCCTGGGTGTCAGCGTGGCAATGCCTCCAATGCCTGTTGATGGCATAGCTTCTCCCATCGTCTCAACCTCCACTATCTTTTGTAAAAGCTACAGTGCAGTTTCCACTCCAGTCCAGTGGCCTGGCCTGAAGAGACCTGAAGCCCATCAGTCAGGATCACACCAGGGTCCCAACCCTGTACTGTACTGGTATCCGAATGCCCCACCCGACCTCGTCTCAGAGGAGAGCCACCACCCAGGAGGCTGACGTCTTCCAACGGTGCTCAAGACCCCACCCTCTCACCTCCCCACTCTGCTCTCTCAATTTTCTATCCCTCCTCCTCCCCACGTGTACTTTCCCTTTGACCTTGTCGTTGCCTCCAGCTCCCACCTTCTCCCTCCCACCCTCTCCTCAAACCCTTGAAACAGGTGGTCCGCCGCACCTTTCCAGAACCAGTCTCTCTCGCCAACAACGCCAACGCACACGCTCGGTCCCCAGTTTTACTCGACCTTCTGTGGCATTTAACACAGGCTGTGTGCACTACCTGGAAGTTCTCCTTTGCTTCTAACTTTTGTTCTCATTCTCAAGTCTCCACCCAGCCCCCACCCCCACCCCCGCGTCCTTTAACTTCTGTACTCGTGTTCTCTTGGCAGTGTGTCTGAACAAGCTCACCCTCACTGACAGGCTTCATGCCACCCACACGCTGTGGCCTTCGGCAGCAGGACTGCTGCTACCCGGTTAGTGGCTTGTGGCTTCCTGGAAGTCTCCATCTGAACACTTATTCCACAGGCACCTCATCTCATGCATTTAAAAAGTAGCATTAGCTTCCTGCATACTCCTCCCCATTCTCCTAACCCTCAGATGTCCTAACGGATTTTCTATAAGGGTCCGTGGTGCTTCCGTCTCCCCAACACAGGACATAATCCCACAGCCCCTTCAATTCTGTGTCTGAACTCTCTTGCATTTCTATACCCTCTCTTCCGTCTATGCCTCGGTGTAAGCTCTTTGTCTCTAGGACTACTCCAGTAGCTCCCACCCAGCCTTCTCCTCCCACCTTGCTTCTTAGGCCCACCCCAACAGTAGTCAATATCCGCTTTCTAAGGGAGCTGTGCTGCCTGCCTACCGGACACGGGCCAGCAGCTCTTCCAGCTCCAAGTCCAAACTCAGACACAAACCAGGCCTTAGGGTCTGTTTCCTCCCGTCTCAGAATCCACCTTCGTGGGCTAAACAGAGCTATCTGCACTGTCCTTCCCAGACTAAGGCCCCATGGAAAATGCACACTCAGCTGAAACATCTCTTTGTAAAACTGCCACTGCCACTCAACACAGAGTTGAGAACTCCTTTTCTGCCATTTCCACAGAGAGGTTACGTCAGTTATCATAGGACGTAATTTTCTGTGTCTTCTCTACAAAAGAGGCTGACACACAGCCAGTGTTCCATAGAGTTTATTAAATTAATAAACAGATGAACTAACAGTTGGAAAGGTATCCAAAAAAGTATAAAACATAAAAGCTATTCCCTCATTTGACTTTGTGTTCAGTCACTGGCTGACTAGGAAGAGAGAGATGAGGCACAGCTTAAAAAGCTACAGATGGGCCCTGGCCGGTCTAGCTGGGCTGGTTGGAGTGTTGTCCATAAACCAAAAGGTTGTGGATTCAATTCCTGGTCTGGGCACATGCCTGGAGAGTGGGTTCAGCCCTTGTTTGGGGCCCGTCTGAGAGGCAACCAATTGATGTTTCCTTCCCTCTTTCTCCCCGCATGTCCATGGGAAAGGATTTTTAGAAAAGCCACAGATGTAAAGGAAATGATTAGAGAGAGGGTATCTGTGGCTGTAAGTCCTCCCTGAAGACTGCAGCGTCCCTGTCTTGTAAAATGGTAATGGGCAACTCTCCAAGGACACTCATCCTACTGACTGTCAACTTGTTATGCAGCAAACATATAAACCAGGAATAGATCACCTACAACTTAATTTTAACTCCCAGATTTGGATTCAGATATGAGACACTTCGTTCATCTCAAGCAATAATTAAATTAATAGACTATTTATTATCAAGAAACTAACCGTTTGTACTGCAAAGATCTTCCTTGGTCCAGGCCAAAAGGGCAGGTATACACTGAGCAATGAATTCTTTCTTGTCTTCTTTTGACAGAAATGGACAGAGACTTTGAATGGTGTGCATATTACCCTCTGTCAGTGGGAAAAAGCTGTTTAAAGGAAAGAAAAACTACGAATTACACTTATCCTAAATATGCAGTTAACTCAGAAAATTCCTTATTCAGATTATTTCCAAAGGGTTAGTAATTCTACTATGTAAAATAACTATATAGAAAAAATAAAAAGAAACTATGTGGAGAGATTGATAACTGCTGATTTTAGATGAGGAAACTACAAATAATTATTTTTTTGCTGCTTCTTTAACACATTTCTAATTTTTTAAATAAGCATATTTAACTTCCCCATTTATGATTATTTTGTGTTATACACATAACATAGTTTTCTAAAGAGTCCACACAGTGCCATTTGTGTGTCCTTTCTATGAGCTGGTATCTGTGTGTGTGCAGACAGAGACAGCTGGGATCATTTACATAATCGTATCACACCAGACATACTGTTTTCTGCGACTTTTCTACTGAAACACAAAGTATATAAGTTGTTTGAGGTTTGGCTTTGGACTCTGTGCTCTGTCCCACGGGTTGGCCTGTTCACCATCTTCACACAGCTCGATAGCCGTGCTCAGCTGGGCGAGCTCCTTTTGCTTTTCTCTTTCAGAGATTTCCTAGCTGTTCCTAAGCATTTTCCCTTCAAACGCACACTATACTACATTTAGAAGAGCACATCAACTTTTTCAAATAATGTTGTCTACAAGTCACTTACATACTTGCAGATTTTTCTGTGTCAGAATATATAGGTATAAATGATTTTCTGTACTGATATTTTAAAGCTATAGAACTAAATTACAAACATAAATATTCCAGATGACGGGTGTATCATAATTTAACTATTTCTCTGTCAGTGGACATTCAGGTTATATTCCCCAACTTTCTGCTCTGATAAACAGGCTGCAATGTCCTTGAGCACATGTGCAAACACCTCTCAGGCTCGATCCTTAAAAGTACAACTTCAAGATCAAAGGATCTGAATGCCCTGTATTTTGAATTTCAAATTGCTTTCCAAAAAACCCCAACCCATTTAAACTTTCACAGAATGTACATGTCACTTTTTTTCTGTAGACTTAACCAATCTCTTAAATCCCTGGCAATATGCCAGATATGCTTTACTTGACCGTCATTACTGACAAGGCAACTCCTTTCATACTTTGCATTTCATCTGTGAATGATCTATTCAAGTCCTTGACACATTTTCCAATTTGGATTGTTTTAGTGATTAATAGAAGATACTGACATATGACGGACATTAATTCTTTGTTAATCTACAAATGTGTTCTTCCATTTTGTCATTTGGCCTTTAAACTTTGTTTACTGTATTTTGTCATCTTTTAAAGTATTTATTTCATTGTGGTAAAATATACATAACAGGACCTTTTGTGTTGACTATTTCTAAGTGTACAGCAGTGTCACAGACACTCACGCGGCTGGACAAACACAGTCCAGAACTTTCATTCACAAAACTGAAACTGTACCCAATAACCCCCGACAGCCCCTGTCTACTTTGTCTCTATGAATTTCATTAAGCGAGGTCCCTCAAATGAGCGGGATCATACGGGATTTGTCTGTTTGTGGCTGGTTCAATTCACCCAGTAGCATGTCCTCAAGGTTCACCTATGTTGAGGCAGGTGTCAGAACCGCCTTCTTTTCAAAGCTGAACAACGTTCCACTGTACAAGTGCTGTATTTTTGTCTGTTCACACGGATGGACAATTGGGTTGCTAGGAGCTTTCATTTTTAAAATAATCAAATGTCTATCATTTCTTTAATGGATTCTGGGTTTTGTGCCTTGCTTAAGAAGATCTTCTCCATGCAAGACAATCCAGTCTCTTATTTCCCTAAAACTTCACAGATCTATTCTTTACATTTAGCTTTCACCTGCACTTCATGTTTACCCGTAATATCGGGAAGGGGTGTCGCTATATTTTTAAAACACATACCCAATTTTCCTAACATCATGCATTACTGATTCTCTTCACTGATTTAACCTGCATCAGACATGAAATTCTCACGCGGGTGAGGTTTGGCTTTGGACTCTGTGCTCTGTCCCACGGGTTGGCCTGTTCACCATCTTCACACAGCTCGATAGCCGTGCTCAGCTGGGCGAGCTCCTTTTGCTTTTCTCTTTCAGAGATTTCCTAGCTGTTCCTAAGCATTTTCCCTTCAAACGCACACTATACTACATTTAGAAGAGCACATCAACTTTTTCAAATAATGTTGTTGAAATTTTTATTGTGATTACAGTGAAATTACAGATTCATATCTTCCTACTTTCTTCTGTAATCTTTACTACATTTTACAATTATGCTTTTTATTAAATTTATTTGTAGGTATTATAGTCTAGTCATTTGGAGTGAAATCTTTTTTCCTGTGACATTTTTCAAATCATTATTACTGATAAATAAGAAAGTTAGTGATTTTTGCATGTCAAGCATTTATCCATTTCAGTAGCAATTAGTTCAGATAGTTCTTAAGTAAATTCCTTATTACTTTTATAATCAGAAAAAATTATGCTGAACAAAACAACCAGTATCAAAAGATCATATAGTGAGTGAGGCACTTACAGAGACACAGAACAGGTTACTGGTTGCCAGAGACAAGGAAACGGGACGAGGGAGGCGGCTGTGGGCGTGAAACGTAATTCGGGAGATGCTTATGGTCAAAGCTGCCCTCCATCTGAAGACTGGTGGTTCGTGGTCACATACAAATGACCACACATGACCCTGACCGATACACTGTGTCACTGCCATTCTCTGGATGTGCCAAACTGGAAACTAAATGCGGGACATATGGAATCTTTTTGTATTATTTCTTACATTTGTATGTGAATCTTTATCTCAAAATAGTAAGTTTTTAAAATTTTTAAATAAGATTTTTAAAAATCAAAATTTAGTTTACAATTCTACTGTGCCAGAACATAAACATGTCATTCTTGAATACTTCTTGGTAAATTAAACAATTCAAAACGCCTCTTGGTGAATTTCAGCTGAGTGTTTACTCTGAATGCTCAGCCTCTCCAGCATGATCAACTCTAGCAGGTTTCTTGCATGTCTAACCACAGTGTATTTCTTCGGGTTAAGAACACATTTACTGCACTTCTAGAACACACTTCAACAGGATGACCCCTATAACGAGAAAAGTGAAGCACCTTCCATGGAACAAATAATGTGGTGACGAAGGATGTCAAGAGATGGAAAGTAACAGAAAGATCCACGAGTGAGATTTTTGGGAAAAAGAGAGTAAGTTTACGAAACACTACCGTTTAAAACCAGTGTGAAATTCCACAACAAAATGTTATAAAGTTAAAAATGCTTATCACAAAAATACATGTTCCAAACCTAAAACAACTCAAATTATTTGCAGTCTTTAGTTCTCATTTCCTTTAACTAAATTTCACTCCTAGACCTTGTTTCCTCAATTCGTTACAAACTGTCGGTTAGTGGGAGGTTGCCAAGCTGACCAAATACACTAAATTATAAAGTGAAAAGTTTAAGTAATTATACCTTTCTTTTCTCTTATAATGCCGTTTTACTTCATCAGATGAAACACTTCGGGAAAGGATCAATTTAGCAATAATAAGAGACCACAGAGTGCCGTGTTCCATGGATCTAAAAAATGAAGGAAAAAATCCATTCTGAAACCGTACCTATGATTTTGAAACACCGTTTCCCTGGATTCCTGGGACAGAGTGGAATCCATTGCCCTATGAGGCTGTCGCCTCACACGGGACTTCCGCCCCCAGGACTGGAAGGACTGGGCGCACAGCAGCCCTGAGCTTGGAGACCAGGCCCGAGGTCACAGAGGCAGAGGGGCTGCGGCTCCGGCGGGTGGGCTCCGGGCAGCGGCCGGGTGCAGCGGGCCCAGACCCTGGCCTCTTCTAAGAAAAGGCAGGCCCGCCCAGTGATTTCTACTGCGGAACCTCTCTCTGCGACCACCTCCACGACAGCCTGTTTGCACGCCTACTTCCTCATCTACGGGAGAGGGCCTGTGGTTCTTGTAGCCAGACACAGCAGGGACAGTGTGCGGGACACAGACTGATCTCCGCAGGGGTGGGGAGTGGGTCACAGATGACAAGTCAAAGCCAGAACAGGATCCGTTCCTTTCATCATCTGCCCCTTGAACATGCTGATAAATTTAATAACACAAAGTCCAGATACCTCCCCAGAAAAATAAAATCAAGTACTTAGCATCCACAAAAAATTTACCATTAAGAATTTGGATAAATTTAGATCAACCTGCTGACTGAGAAATTAGCATGAAGAGGGCTTAATTTCATTTTATTTTTTAAAGATTTTATTTATTTATCTTTAGAGGGAAAGGGAAGGAGAGAGGGAGAGAAATATCAGTGTATGGTTGCCTCTCCTGTGTCCCCTGCTGGGAACTGGCCTGCAACCCAGGCATGTGCCCTGACTGGGAATCGAACCTCGATCCCTTGGTTCGCAGGCCCGGGCTCAATCCATAGAGCTACACCAGCCAGGGCTAAGAGGGCTTACATTTTAAAGAAACAGAGCTATAAAGTAGTAAAATGCTGATTTAAAATGGAATTTGAAAGGAATGTTTACCTGTTAAACAGCAGGTGCAAAAGGGTGGAGGTATCACCAAGTCCGCACAAGTTCTCGTAGGTAACGTGCGCTTTTTGCAGCACTTCCAGAAACCCGGCTACGAAAGGGGGCGGGCTGTCCAGCTCTGCGCACCACTGCAGGGAGTACAGCAGCTCCGCGGCTGCAAGAGAGAGGGGGCGGAGCCGTCAGCCTGGCCGGCAGGCTCCGCCCTCCTCCGCCCAGCCGCCCCGCCCCGGCTGCTCTTCTCCCACGTCCGGAACCGGCTTCACCTGCTCTCAGACGGTCTGAAAACCGAGACCATCTGTCTGACACCAACACCACTACTTTACCAAGTCTCCCCTGGCTCCTTTTCTGACTAGTTAGGAATGTGACAAGGCCCTAAATGACCAGAGGCAGGGGAAGAATCTCCCCACTACTGTGGTCACAGTGGCAGGAAGGCACACGCTGGGTAAACCACCAAGGGCTGCGAAGCCTGAGACGAGAAGCTCCGGCCCCCGGTCCAGAAACGGAACCCATTACAGACGGTCTGTCCTCAACGAGCTGCACAAAAGTCATCGGTGAGGACAGGACAGTCCGCCTACTCGACTGCTGTGAGAATTAAACGGCCAAGTGTCTTTCATAAAACCTGCAATGTCAGAGGCAGGTTTTAGTCACAACTGTTGTTTATAAATCCATGTACGGTTTGGATTTTGAAGTCAGAAGATTTGAAACCTGGTTTGAGATCTAACCCTTTCCAGGTTAAGTAATTCTAAGCAAGTCAGAATAAAAACAGTAATATCTATCATAGTATTGACGAGATTAAATACACAATGTTGTCAGTTTGGAATCAGTCATATGTGTGAGTCACTACAGAAATAAGACTCTACTTTCCACTCTGCATTTTGGACAGATTCACTCTGCCAACAGTGCAGCTGGGGGCTCCTTGCCTCGCCTGGAAGATGCAGGTGGAGCTGGCCGACCCCAGGACCCCACTTCCTTGCAGGCACTGTCTCCCGCACCAGGACGTGTCCACACTGAGTGTCTGTCAGCACACCAGACAGATGCGGAACTGCGCAAACCCTGCACTTCTAACGCCACGTGCACCGCTCACACCGCCACCTGCGGTTCTGCACCATTTCAACCTCCGCTGCCCAGAAGACAAAGGGAGTGTTCAAACACTGACTGGAAATTCAGACTCCCTCCACGGTGTCCTTCCTGTTATGTGACACAGGGTCTGCTCATACCGATGTGATGGCAGTTTGAGAAAGTGATTTTATACCACAATCTACTGGATACCTAACGAAACTGTAGCGAGATTTCAGTATGTTTCCATCCGATTTGCAATTTAACATTCATCATTTAAGTACCCTCAAGTTTCTCATCACTAAAATGGTAAATAGGAGCTGCAGATTCTCAATTCTTCAAACTGCAGTATTGTAACAGGCTGTAGCCGAGGGGGGGGTTAAATGGGGATTTGTAATGGGGTCCAGAACTCAGGGTGTTCAGGAAATATTAGAGGAAAATACATATACAATGTCCTCACCCCCCACCAGTCTGAACTGGGGATGCAGACACGTGGAGCAGGGCCATTGAGAGCTGATCTGCACAGCGACAGCTTTGCAGCTAACCTCTGGCATGGTCATCTAACATATCTACAGCCTTTAGCTGGTTTCATAGATATGTCCAATAGCTGTGGCCATGCTTTGAGCCAGGGGGATGGGAGTGACTTGAACCCAGGATGTAACTGGGAAGCAACTCCCCCTAGTTACAGGGCCTGCGTGAGAGCTTGCAGATGATTGGCTCCATGCCATGGGACCAAGTCTACCTAGATTTATTATGGCAGCCCAGTAAAGCTGGAAGAATATGGGAATGCTGGCAGGTGTGACTGATTGCAAGAGGAGTCGGAAATGGTGCCGCAGAGGAAGACTGGTGCCTGGATTTAAACCCAGGTGTGGCAGCCACACAGGTCAGGACCATGAGGCTTTGGTGGAGATCACGCAGCTCTGGGGTGCTCCCTTTTGCCACATGGCTTAGGCAGCAGGAAAGACTTTGCCTGGAAGAAAAGGGGTGAAAGGACTCGTGCTGCTGGGCCATGAGAAGGTGCCACATGGCTCTGGATTAACTGGAGATCGTGGTGGCGACACTGACTTCTTTTCCTGAGATACGGTGCCCGGACTGGGCAAAGGTGAGGAACACCGTGTGTGTTTATGGGCATTCTGAAGAACTTTAGTATTTTAATGAAGACATTAAGTCGTTACTCTAAGTCTGTATAACTTTTAGATGAATAATTCTCTTCCTTTTCACCAATCTCTAGCATTGACAGACATCTTTCATCTGGTGGGCGGTGGGCAAAGTGAACCTAGTGTGGGTAGGGGAACCCCAGGAGAAAAAAAGGGGGGAATCCTTTTGGGAATAAAATGTCATTCATCCCCTCAGTCTGTTCTGTAACAGTATAATCAAAAGTATTTCAAAATTCTTCCAAAATTCACATATATATTACATTAAATGTTCACATATACTTACTTATTTTCTCAAGTTCATTATTTTCTAGGACTATTTCCTTCTTCAGTGCAACTACTATCATTTTGCTCAGCAATGCTGAAGTACACAAATGGCTAGGAAGTGTCTTTGTGTCGTGTTCTTTAAAATCCGTTTTGAAACACTCGTAATTCAAACTCAGTCTTCCTTCTAACAGAGGTCTGTGTAGCCACTGCAGAATGACAGAGCGGGCACACCAATCAGACATTCTACCTGCCACCAACTGCACAACTAAGACAGGGAGCAAAAGCACAGTTATTAGAACCTCTTCAACTTGTTTTTGAAGTCAGTGTAAGGATGAGTTGATTATTAGTTTACTGGCACAGCCACGGTCGCCTGAAGCTCGGGCTCCGCTGTGAGAAACCCTCACGTGCACACTCCCTGCAGACGCCCTCCGACCTCACCTGCACCACGGCTACTGCCAGGTGCTGGCTGGGACCACGCAAACAGCAAACACACAGAGGAGAACTCGGAGGCATCGGGGCAAAGTGAGATACTCACTTCACTTTTCTTCACCAAAAGTAAATAAAAATATTTAAGCTTTCATGAAATCTAAACACCAGAATGAGATGCGCACTTTCCAACCCCAAACCTACCTGCATAGGGAGGGACTGCCTCATCGTTTCCCACTCTCTGCTGTTTGGCATTACGCCTGCAATGTAAACTCCCAGGAGGGAGGTGTCTTCACTCTCCAGAAGCTTATTAAGCAAATCATCCACAGTAGACAAGAGGCCTTGAAGACTAAAACAATGCAAAGAACGTACTGTTAGGACACCTAGGTACACAATGAATGCCCTGTGGCAGGTAACAGCTTACTGGAACAAAAAGACATTAATGTTGAGTGGCTTTGCTATGCCTCACCTTCCCGCCTCACCCCCAACACACACAGTCACACTGAGGCTTTAATCCCAAGTTTACAATTTGAAAAGAAAGTGCTACTTCCATCTCAGCGAGGAGATCGGACCTACTTCTGATCAGATATTTCTGAAATACAGGTCCCATGGTCCACAAAATGAGCATGGTGAGCAGAAACAGATGAGATTTAACTCCCAAACCTCTGGGAACATCTGCTTCGTTCTCCTTTCACACATGGACTGGGTGTGGGGGAGTTGCAGGAGTGCAAACACATCTGCAACTCAAACACCTGACGATGGGGGCTGCCAGACCCCAAAAGGAAAGCGACACAGAACAGTCGCTGTGTGTGCCGGCCAAGAGGGGCCATGGCTGTGAGCCACACCAGGCAAGATGCAGATGCGCAGCAGCAGCCCCTCGCTGACCGTACGTCGGGAGGACAGCAGGTCTGCCGTGACAGTCGTCCCCAGCTCAGTAAGTTTAAGACAAATCCTTCTGGAAAAATCCCCGTAGGAATCCTACGGAGTTCTCACATGACCAGCTGTTTTTCATAAGCACTCACACTAATTAAGGAATCTTATCTAAGGAATATGATCACGTATTAAGAAACACCGTGCAGCAGAGCACAAAATGGTTACCTTCGGATGTCCAAAGGTGCAGACTGGACCTGGTCCTTCAGCCACAGAGCAGACGAGCACAGGAAGGCACCCCGCGGGCCTGCACAGCCCGTCTGATGGACCAGCACGTTCATGCCAGAGAGCCAAGTGCTTTCCAGTTTACGGACAAGAACGTCTAAAATCGAGAGGTCGACAGTAATTTGCAATTCTGCTGCAGTAATTATAATCATTACAAAATGTCTAAAAGAATTCATTGCCGGTCTCACATTATTAATGTAACATTCAAAAAAGAAAACAAAAATCCAATAGTAAAATTAAACGCATCCTTTCGGAGATGTAAAAAATACTGGGTTGGCCAAAAAGTTCATTGGTTTTTTCCTTAAGATGGCTCTAGTAGTGCTTAGTTGTCTGTAACTGTTCTAAACAATTTTGTTAGACTGTATTGTGACAGCTGCCATATCAATGTGCATTTAAAGGGAACATCACAATTGGTGAATATTTGTACAGCTATTTTAATATTTAACATGAACAAGAGATGCAACATTTTTGGCATATTACACTTTATTATTTCAAGAAAGGTAAAAATGCAACTGAGCCCTGGCTGGTGTAACTCAGTGGATTGAGCATGGGCTGTGAACCAAAGGGTCGCCGGTTCGATTCCCTGCCAGGACACATGCCTGGGTTGTAGGCCAAGTGCTCAGTGGGGAGCACACAAGAGGCAACAACCATGCATTGATGTTTCTCTCCCTCTTTCTCCTTCCATTCCCCTCTCTCTAAAAAGAAATAAAATCTTTAAAAAAATGCAACTGAAATGCAAAAAATAATTAGTGCAGTGTATGGAAAAGGTGCCGTGACTGACTGGACATGTCAAAAGTGATTTGCAAAGTTTTGTGCTAGAGATTTCTTCCTGTACGATGCTCCACGGTCGGGCAGACCAATTGAAGTCGACAGCAATCAAATTAAGACATTAATTAAGAACTAATGTTATACCACACAGGAAACAGCTGACATACTTAAAGTATCCAAATCAATAAAGTTATTGGTGAAAATGAAAAATGTGTCTTTTATTTTGGCCACCAAGAGTATTTTTTAAAATATTTCTTTCATAAATATATCTAAATTAACACACAAGGCAAGAATATAGTCCTTAAAAAGGCGATCTCAATTTCATTTTGATATACACTAAGACTGAATGTTTTTAACTATTTAAGAGAAGAGATAAGATACTGCACCTTCCAAAACTATTTCCTTGATACCAAGTAAGAACTTAAGACATAATATCTACACACATCTTTAACTTGGTTTTTAAGGCAGAAAGTGTTTAAGATCTGAGTCCTGTACTCAAAATGATTTCAACTTTCAAACACATTATATGATTCAACTGATAAATCCTTGGCATCGATACTGTAAAGGTCAGAGGCAGAGATTCCTGGCAAAACATTCGAGCAGCAGGTTATTACCTGCCAAATGTGTTTCTCCTTTGCTCTGAGCACACAGCTGAAAGAGAGTTAATAATAAATCCTCTGAGGACGGCACGAGCAAGCCTCCTCTCGCTGAGCTGAAATAGTCATAGGCCACGTCACAGACAAAAGACACCGAAGAGCCATTATTTTGGGCTTCTGACAATTTCCTTGCTTTGGATAAAGTTTCATGAAGTTTAATAATAATTCTTTCAACATATACTTCTCCAATCAAGTAATCTAGAGAAAAAAAAACAGACAGAAAATTAAAAAAATATATTAACAGTATAATTTTGAGTATCTTACAACTTGAGTCTTTGTATGTGCTTATTTAAAAAAAAAAAAAAAAAAAAAAAAGGTGCTGCCCTGGCTGGTGTGGCTCCGTGGACTGAGTGCCAGCCTGTGAACCAGGGGGTCCCAATTCATTCCCAGTCAGGGCATATGCCTGGATTTCGGGTCGGGTCCCCAGTTGGGGGGCGTGTGGGAGGCAACCACACGTTTGTGTTTCTTTCCCTCTCTCTCTCCTTCCCTTCCCCTCTATCTGAAAATAAATAAAATCTTAAAAAAAAAAAAAAAGGTGCTTCTGTATTAGACAAAAGAAAACCGTATGAACAAATCAGTATGTTCTCACACACACACAAAAAAAGCAGGTTTAAATTAAATTTAAAAAGCTATGCTCTAAAAATTAGGGCAAAGAGCTTTCCTAAATTAAATGAAAAACCCTTCAGAATAAAATACAAAATATTAAATGTCATCCAAGTCATGCCACGAAGATAATAAACATTTAAGGTACTTACAAAATTAAGATATTTTAGTGAATTATGTCATATTCTCAGCAGCATGAGATCCCCCCAAAAGTGAGAGAATTATTTCCCCACTGAAAACAAGTCGTATTTGTGCTTACCACTTTCAACATGTTGGGATAATACCAAGCTTAAAAGTGCCCATCTTTCTGAGAAATAAGGTTCGGAAGCTACTGTGGATTCCAAGTCTTTATTGCAAAGATGACCTGCCAAGGTTACCAGCTTCTCTCCGAAGAGGTCTCCTCTCAGCCAAGAGACGACTAAAGCATGTTTCTCAGAACTAGAACATGCCTAAAACCATACAATTAAAGCAATGGTTAGAAGCAAGACCACAACGTCTATCTGCCTGGAGTCTTACCTCTTGTGCCTTGAGCCTCCCTGAACTCCTCCCATGGCCCCACCCTCCCCACCTCTCCTCTTTCAGGCCGAGGCAGGTAGCTTCCCTGTCCCCACAAAGCCTGTCTCACTACACCCCATGCTTTGCTCATCCATTTTCCCCAAGCCACTTCCCCAAGTCCTAACCATTTTTCAAGAAGCAGTACAAATCCCACCTGCTTTATGAAGTCTCCCCACCTCTCCAGCCCATACTCATTACTGATTTTCTCTGAATTTTGAAAACACTTACTGGATTGTATTGTTATTTAAATGTTTCATCTGTGTGTCTTGTGTCCAATGAAACTCTAAGTTCCTTGAGAGCAGAGACAGTCTAAAACTTCGTTGACACCTGCTACCAACTCTGTAGATTTGTTTGATAATGAATGGCTGAACTTTGAGGACAGATTTTAAAAAAATGCTCTACAGATATTCAATTTTTGTTCATTAGTTTTGCTAAAATTAAAGCACAATTAATATGTAATGGTAACTTGCTTTATATGAATAATGGTACTTCTTATTACCTCCACAAATTCCTTAAAATAGTTACTAGGGCCAGACATGTGACAGCAACTAGTTTATTTTCATGAAGTGGAGAAGCAAGAAAAAAACTGTAAATCCACCCCCAAAAGCTGATCCATGTTCCCAGAGCTTCTTTTGTTTTAAGGCTTGAGAAGAAAGGAATTTGCAATTTGGCTCATTTCAAAGCAATCTAGGAAAAAAAACAACAAACAACCCAAGTGTGGACTGGGTAATGCCTGAAAAACTTTATCCTTTTACATAAAAAATGTAGTTAACCACAGTTTTTATTTTAGCCCAAGCTTTACCACTATTCTGGCTTTATGACCTTGGACAAATCTCATAATCAACCTGGGCCTGTTTCCTAATTTGAAAAATGAAGATTAACCTAGAACATCTCTAAGGTTCTTGTCTGCATTCAAAATCCAGGTTTGTTTTTAAAGGGCTCTGCTCATAAAGCACAGGGTTGTACGAACACAAGAAAAACAAGTTCAGATGGCTGTAAAATTGGCTTTCCTAATACAGTTATCAAAAAACAGACCAGTCTATTTTACAGAACCCTACAAAATCCAGAAAATAATCCTCTGAATACACTATGTCTCGGGCTGGCAAGACACGAAGTTTGACTTCTCCCCATGTTCTCTATAGACAGAATCCGATCAGCTCGAAGGACCAAGCCAGCTGCTCAGGGGGAGTGGGCAGCAAACACTGCCCTGGTGGAGGAGTCTCCAAAGCACATGGCAGGGACATCTCTAAGCTGGAAATGGAGGGAGCACTCTCTTATCAAACTTTCAACTCCCTTGACCCTGGCTGTAGAGGTATTAAGCAGCTTGGCTGTTAATTTGGCTTTCCATGTAGCCTGCCTATAGGGGGAGAAGGTACTGGATAAGCTACTGCAAAAGATGTGCCCGTAAGTTATATTTCTCATTGAAAAACAGTAACATTGTGTGTTTGTTTTGTAAAAAAACGGATGACTGCAGGGAGTCACTGTTCAGCTGACAAAGCTGCAGCTCTGCAGGGTGAAATGCTCTGGAGACTGGCTGCCAGTGACGTGAGCACATGGACACAGCTGAACTGTGTCAGTTCAGTCCTCCATGCGTGCGGGGTGGTCAGGATGTTAAATATCAGGTTGTGCTCTACGCCAAAGTTTTAAAAGAAAAAAACTTGTAAGTTAAAGAGTTATCTGTGTAAAACTTAAAAATCATCCAAAAGAGCTAAAATAAAATTTTAAGTGGTTATAACATTTCTATGGTTGGAAATGTGTTGTTAGTTATATTATTTACATCTTCATTAGGAAAGAATAATTAGACTATTCTTTTAAGCTTCCAAATTTCTCATGTCCCTTGAGCTCTCTTCATTATTCTCATCATTAACTTTCTTATCCAGTTAAGTTGCCATCAAACATGGAAGGCTTTAATCTGCCTGTATAATATTCCAGAGCTAGGCCAACAATCTCCTGACATGTTCCAGGCAAAACTAGAACCACTGAATCCATTTCTATGGAAGAAAGAGTGACCAGGGTAAGAACAGAAACCAGCAGCCTTCATTTAAGAAAATCAGTGTCTGTGCGCCCCTCTGGGGAGCAAGCCCGCACCGTTCCTGCCCGCCCCCCCCCCCCCAGCACATCACCTCTGCCGTTCTCTCTCTGGAGCTCCAAGGGCCCTTCTTCTGCCTCTGTAATCTGTTTCCTGGCTCACTTCTACCCTGTAGCTTTCTACATAAACTTTCTCTTATGATTTGAAAAAATAACAATAAAAAAATGTTGAACTTTCCCTTTGTTGACTGCTCGGGAAGAAGCACTGGGTTCCCAGAGCCTGTCCATTCCTCCCTGATGTCCCTGCCCTGAGAAACCCTATAGAAGACAAGCACCAGATGTCTTCTCCAATTACAGGACCTGGCAGTGATGAGAAAGTGCTCTAACACAGACACCGGACCATATCCCCACTGTATGGCTGCGACTGGGGTTTCAGTTTTTCTACACCCATAAACACGAAAAAAAAAGAGAGAAAAAAAAATCCCTAAGATACCTTCTCAATGACCTGAAGAACTGAATTCCACTTCAGATCCACCTGAAAGAGGAAAAGGAGTCACAAGTAATCACTGGAAGGAATAGTAAACATTTATGAGTAAACGAAGCAACCGGCCACCACTACACAAATGGGACTTTCTCAGCTGGTCCAACTCCCCCTTTTGCTACCAAGCTTGTGTCACGACCACATACATATTTACTGAACGCTGGCCGGGAAGTCCCACACACTTCCCAACTCACAACCACTATGTTGCTTATCTTTAAATTCGTAATCAAGAAACAATCCAAATGTTCCGCCCCCACAAGCCCCCTCCACGTCTGTGATGGTGGTGCCAGTGTAAGCCAGTACAGTTCGAAGAGACGCGACAGTACCTCCGTCAGATCGTCTAAGACATCTTTCCTTTCCTTATCGTCGTCACAGCAACGGAGGGCACTGTACAAAATGTCCACCAGGAAACCAGTGTCCTTCCTTTGGTCTTCATTTAGCCAACCGACTACTTTCCGGTATAAAAACTGCACTGCAGGGTTTCTCTGTATAAGTTCGGCTATTTCAGGAGGTTTGGATTTGACAATGCTCTGCCCTTCGTCACCTAGCAGCATCTTAAATACTTGGGTTGAAGAGAAGGAATTGAGCAGAGTGGAAAGAAACCTCAGATGTTGCTCTGATCTTTGTTCGTTGACAAAATTAATACTCATCCCTGCCAGTCTGCAGACTAAGTCTTCCAAAGGTCTCCTCCGCAGTGGAGATATAAGGTCTGAACAGTTACGGGAGAGAAGAGGTTCAGCCATTAATTCCCAGCCCTCATTGTTCTTACCTTCTGAGGGGACATATTTTTCATTCTCTGTATGACTTTCAGGCATCTCATCAGCAAACCTGACCTTGCCAACTTTTTTCTTATTTGACCTCAATGAGCTCTTTGGCTTTTGAAGGACCTGTAATAGGTTAGATATACCCAAAACAGACTTAACATCAGCTTCTGGCTCATTCATTTTCTCAAAACAGATGTCTGATAGTCTTTCCCAGAAATTCAGTAGCACTTTCTCCAAGCTGTGAGCAGTTTCATCATCTTTTTCCATATCTGCTTTGGCTTCCCAAGAACTTAAAGTTTCTGCCAAATAGTCAAATGGTTGCCCATCCTGCAATCTTTGGTCTTTGAGAACTGCATCAATCACAGGAATCAACTAAAAGAGAAGGTGAAATAGAGTAGTTAAGTCTCCAGAAGAAATAAAATGTAATCAAGGTAGCTATATAACATTATAAGTGTTCATACTTAATTAATAAAAAATAAGGATTTCCTCCCAGAACTCTGAAAAGAGTTAACCTGATAAATCATTTTCCTATCAATATACAGAGCTTAATGATTTTACTGTATTCCTCCTGAATGACTACATTTTTATGACATAAATGACCAGGATTATCGGTCATTAACAAATAATATACTTTACTCTGAATTTCTGAGGTTATTCAAGTTTTTTGTTTTTTTTCCCAAGTCGAAACGAAAAACAGAGGATCCACAGAATTCAGAATCCTTTTCTTGAACTACAAAGATAAGAGAAGTTAACTATCTGAGATAACAACAGGATTTGGGCTTATATTTCATCTATTAATTTCCTACCAGGGGAGCCATATTCTAGAACCTGCCCTCATCCCTGATTCTAAGCACCAAACACAACTGTTCACAAAAGGGTATATGTGCTTGAATATTTCAGAAGTAATACTCAAGTACGTGTATTTGAACTATTGTTGCTGTGTATAATGCTCACTTTTCTCTAATGCTCACTTTTCTCCCCAAATTTTTGAGGGAAAAGTAAGGGTGCACATTACACATGGGTATAATGCTTACACACCAGGGGTGTAACGATGAGCGTTAACAATCCCACATGTAAAATGTGCACAGACGTGGGTGCACACCATAGACAGCAAAATACGGGGATGCGAAAGACCAAAAACCGCATCTTCTAAATTGTTTTGCATTTCAACTTTAAAACCGTCAGGGTCTGTTCATCCAGAGGCTAGTCCTCGGTCATTAGAGTGTTACACTAACTATACTGGCACGGAATCTTGACACAATGAACTTGATTCTTTCTAGTCAGGGTGGAAAACGCTAGTGATTTTTACACTACAAATACCTGGTCGCTGATGAGCATCTCTTCAATCTCTCTCTCCCCGAGGTTCTGCTGCATGATGAAACGCAAGCAATCGAAGAACGCAGCTACCACTGCCGAGCACTCACAGAGGCTGGTTTTGATCCTCTCTGTTGACAGCCTGCGAAACAACACATCGGCAGGGCTCACTCCTCCGTGAAAAAGAGTACAGCACCTCAGAAACGCCCAAACAAGTCTTGGAGGAGGCATCATACCAAAAGATGAGGACTTTTCAAAATAAAATTCTTTTTTTTTGAAATGTGCATTTATTTTTTTCAAAGATTTTCATTATCTATTTTTTTAGATACAGGGGAGGGAGAAAGAGGAGAGAAAGATCAGTGTGTGGCTGCCTCTCACGCGCCCCCTACTGGGGACCTGGCCCGAAACCCAGCATGTGCCTCGACCAGAACTTGAACTGCCAGTCCCCTGGTTTGCAGGCCCATGTTCAATCCACCGAGCTACACCAGCCAGGACTAAAAAAATAAAGTTCTTATACTAAAAACTAAGAACAAGCAAAAAAATATAGCCTAATTATAATATGAACTTAAAGAACTGTGAAAAAAAGCCTATTTAAAAAATTTGTCAACAGAAGATAACACATTTATTTTCTATTCATGAACCAATCGAGCTACAAATTTGAAAGCTAGGACTTAACTAAATAAAAAGTACTGTGAAAGAAATTTAAGTAGTAAATATAATACAGTATCTTTTATTTATTAAGTTCAACAAAGACTGCAGTAATTTTTAATTGTGACTTTAAACTTCTGTAAGTTTGTGGAATTTTTAGAAACTTTACAGGTTCATTTTCTGCATTTACACATTTGTATTTATCAACATACAAAAAAGTGGCTCACTTGGAAAATGGCCTATTGCCACCTGAGGGTCTTACTACACTCACCTTATTTTCTGTTGTACGCTAACTAGCACTGAAGCCTTAAGAGAACCCAAGGAAAAAATTCCATTTTAATTCTCTGAAAACTTGAAAAGTGTCTAATGAATAGGAAAAAACTACTTGGGGGAATTTAATTTATTTTTTATTTTTTTGAAAAGATTTTATTTAAAGTAACTAAATAAAATTTAATATAAAAAAAAGATTTTATTTATTTATCTTTAGAGAGGAAGGGAAGGAGAGAAAGAGAGCAATACCAGTGTATGGTTGTTTCTCATGCATCCCCCAGAGAACTGGCCTGCAACCCAGGCATGTGCTCTGACTGGGGATTGAACTGTGGCTGTTTGGTTAGCAGGCCAGAGCTCAATCCACTGAGCTACACCAGCCAGGGCCATTTGGGGGAAATTTAAATAAGAAAGACAATTATGTTCATCCCACCCCTCTGTGAGAACAAGAAACATCTCTTGGCTTTAAAGACCCAAGAGTTAAACCCCTTACCCTGCCACCAGAGAGGTGAGGAAGTCTTTGAAGAAGTCCAGTTTGGGGTCCGTGACAGACTGTGGGAGCTTGCTAACGAACGGCAGCAGGTTGGGGTGTATGACCGGGGCCAGGCCCCGGCCACCGTCACGCATCACGGCTGACAGCTTGGGAAACACGCTTTTTCTGGCATTTACATGAAGCCAACAGTCCTGACCAGGGAAAAGATTATAACGACAAAGATCATAACCCACTTTCCCCAGCTGAGAGAGAAGACACACGGGTCTCAAAAATAAAAGTCAAGTATTCTACCCTAAGAGACTAACATCTGTCACTGCCATTAGAAACTAAAACTCTGAAATTCCATAAGACATTTATTACATACAGTACTCATGTATGCCACAGGCTTCCGGGGTCACAGTCACTAGAAGTAATTACCTAACTTAAAATGTTCACACAAGAGCAGCACTGACTCTCACACGGAAGACTCAGAGGCGCCTGCTTGGGGCCGCACGGGAACACACAGCCCCAGCTAAACGGACCAAGACCCTCTGCCATTTTACAGGCAGGTTAGATTTACATCAAGTTTTGGGTTAAGTATTTTATTTCCAGGAAAGCCTTTTTTCAGATAGCTTTTAGACAGTACAACCTAAGAGGCTCTAAGACAGCAGTTTTCAACCACTGTGCTGTCAAGAATTTCTAAAACATGCGGCCCCTGACTACTTAGCCAAGGGCACTGACCTCTTTTCCCTCAGGCTGGCAATTTAGAAAATGACAAGAGCCAATACAACAGCAGCCATCTGCTGTGAATGAAGTAAAATTATACCTATTTTTTGTCAGATCGGCAAAAAATACATCTTGCGGTGTGTCACTGATTTTTAAAAAATATTTTATTCATTTTCAGAGAGAGGGGAAGGGAGGGTGACAGAGAAACATCAGCTGATTGCTTCTCGCAGGCTCCCAACATGCCCTGACTAGGAATTGAACTGGCCACCTTTTGGTTCACAGGCTGGTGCTCAATCCACTGAGCCATACCAGCCAGGGCATGTGCTGCAGATTTTTAGTAATTACGTGTGCCATGAGATGGAAAAGGTTGAAAAATCGCAGCTCCAAGACAGGTATTCCCAGATGCACCAAGCATACCTCCCTCACCCACCTCGACAGTCATCAGGGTGTATAGCACAGCCTCCCAGACGGCGGGGCACACAATGGGGTCACTGTCATCAATGCTGAGTAGGACAGAGGAGCTGACTCGCGATGCTTCGTCCCTCATCAAGTGTGGAATGCGCTGGCACAAAGTGGAAACTAACTCGAAATAGGCAGCGCGGATCTAAACGGAGAAACAAAGGGGAAAATAAACAAATACATTCAGTGAGAACGGACCTACACATGCCAACAATTTCAATCAAGGTGCCAGGAGTGGAGCAGGAGTGGAGCAGGAGTGGAGCATGACAATTCAACTCTCAATCTGAAGTCCTAGCAAATACAAAAGTGAAAATACAGTAACATTCCAGTAGGAGGGGCAATGAGGTCCCACCATGAACACGTATTTGTAAAGTTTTAAATGTAAACAGTAAACATAAAGCATAGATATAAACTGACACAATCAGGAGAAAAAGAAAGGAATCAGAGAAGTATCTTAAAAAAGAAAGACGAAGACACCTGAGGCACACTGTGTTTCCCATACTTCCAGAACTTGTTCTGGGACAGGAGAGACTTAAACCTCTCCTCCAGAGACCCGAGCTCGTGCTCTGGTATGAGGCAGAGCAGTTTCTTCAAGGCCAACAAGGAGCACGTCACGACCCGGTGGAATTTAGCCTCTCTCTCTTCCTCTGGAACAGTTCTTATTGTGAAAACAGGAGAAATACGTTTAAGGACCGAGTATAAGCAAAAGGACATATTTGACTCTTCTATTTTAAATGTTTTATCATTAAATGACTACCAAAGTTGCTTTATTTCTATTTTTGATTCTCCCTGTGCCAACCCCCCTCAAAATACAGTCACTCCCAGAAGTTCAGTCCCATACTTCCCACATAACACCAGGTGAAAGCGCGTGCAGAGCCTGGGCCGAGGGAAGTGTGCGCCCCTCCCCCAGCTCGTGGCAGGCTACGCAGAGGAGCCTCGGAATGGGCATTAATGCGCCGAAGACGGCTTTCCCTATGGACTCCGATTAGAGTCTGATTAAAACAATAAAAGTGATGAGAACATTTCACTACTTTTTCAGTAGAACTACTCACAGTTTTTCCACTATTTTCAACACGGCCTTAAAACGTCCCCTGCTATGACCGTCAAAAGGTGAATATAGGAAAAATCTAAAAGCATCTTTTCGAAAAAGAACCTACTATGTGGCTCCCAGATAACTCAACTTAAATAGCAGGACAACTGGCAAGGAGAAGCACTTCAGATGGCACACGGCACATAACACACTACACTAGGCGTTTTCATCTCTACATTCGGCACCCCCTTGAACACACATTAAGGTCCTGACAGGAGTTACAACTTACTGCGGGTCACTGAGGGAGTCGGGTGTTTCTTTGATCAGATGATCCTGCAGTACCTGCAGAAGGAAAAGCCCAAGCCTTGAGATTTCACTGCATTGCCAATGGTGATTGGAGACAGCATAAGCCTCATCTGATCTAGAAGTTTCCTAACCTTTCCCAACAAAAGAAACTAATTAAGTAGGAACACTAAAAGGTTTGAACTTTACCTATTTTTTTTCCCCTACCATCCCCAAGGTTGGCTACTATCAAGGCAAGAAGGATAGGGCTCTTCTCCAAGCACCTGCAGTTTCCATCAGGAGGAACCGTCCCCCTCACCCTGGCTGGCGTAGCTCAGTGGACTGACTGCCGGCCTGCAGATCGAAAGGTCAACGGTTCGATTCTGAGTCAGGGCACATGCCTGGGTTGTGGGCCAGGTCCCCAGTGGGGGGCATGTGAAAGGCAACAACATATTGATGTTTCTCTCCCTCTCTCGTCCTTTCTCTAATAAATAAAATCTTAAAACAACAACAACACACAAACAGAAACTATGAAGAGCCAAATCAGTTGTCTCAAAATCCATTTTCTAAAACTCTTAGTGTCTAAACTCATGACACTTCACTTTCATAACAGTTACCACTTGTTATTTAAATAAGCCAATGACTCTTAACCTGTAGCTGGCTTAGAGAGCTGCCTTTGAGAAAATGGTTAAAGGTACAAATCCCCTCCCTAGAAAAACAACTCAGTACACCTGAGAAAGGAAGAGCAGGAGAACCGAGTAGGCGAGGGGACTTCCTGTGTGTGTGGGGAAGAGGTGTGAGGGAAGGGCCCAGGAGTCCAAGCCAGTAAGGATAAGGAGAACCCACCGCAAGGCCGAATCACTGGAAGGAGGACGGAGTGAGGGACAGACACAGGGCTGTGAGTGCACAGGGGTTCCACAGAGGGAACGAGGGCAGGCACCCACTGTTGAAATCTGCAGTTCCCTCCTCACTCCATTTCCTCACATAATGTCAGGAAGCTTGGCCATCTGGTCCCTCCAGTCTGTATCGTAAGGACAGTAAGGAGGGGAGAAATGAGGAAAACAGCACCAGATGCAGACAAACTGAAAGCCACAGAAGTTATGGCTGACACCAGTCTGGTCGAAGTGTGGGCTGAGAGCTGAAGAAACTTCCCCACGGGCTTGTGAGAGAGACGTGTGAGGCCGTCTGAAGGGCAATTCACCAACACCTGTGGAAACTGTAACTGTGCTGATTTTTTGATCCAATGAATGGTGACTAGAAGTGCTGGTACTTTTCACTCCCACCAAGTGAGAAGTGATCTATTCAAAAAAGTCCACTAAACTTTGTAATAAAGACATCCGAATAAAACCATAAATGTGTGTTTTAAAAGGTTAACCAAACTGCTGTGTATCCATACAAAGGACTACCAGAGAGCCAGCAAAAAAGTCAAGTAAATCTGTAAACATGTATTAATGGGAAAATACGGGGAAAAGTAAGTTTAGAATGAATTTTTAGATGTATTCTTTTTTTAGATTATATACTATAATCTAAAGATTAAGATTTATAAATTAAATAGAGACAATTAAAATATTTCAGAAAGATACAATACAACATGTCACTTGTAGTTAAACTACGACATGGGCTCAGTGGACTGAGCACCAGCCTGCAGATCAGAGGGTCAGCACGGGGGCCCCTGGTTCGGCTGCGCGCCTGGGCTGCGGGTCGGGTCCACAGCCGGGGGGCGCGAGACAATGGATTAATGTACCCTTGGGCACTGGTGTTTTTTCTCTCCCTCTCCTTCTCCCTCCACTCTTTAAAATAAATAAATAAATAAAATATTTTAAAAAATAAATAGAATGCAACAAACAAACAAACAAATAAATAGAATGCAACATGAACAACTGTGTTAAACACTGTTCCAGAAACACCACCTTCCGTTGGAAACATTTCATGCACGTGACTCCCTCACACTGCCGGGCAGAAGAGCAGTCACTGTAATATGCCTGCTGTCCCTTAAACACTTAGGGAAAAACAGAGAACAGTTCCCAGGACTTACACTTGCAATCTCGTCCTTACAGAAGGCTATGGCCTCAGGCTGCTTGCTGGGGGGGAAGGCCGCGGCGAAGGCGTCCTTCGCTGCCGATGCGGCGGGCGGGTAGGTGTCACACTGAGCCAGGAGCCAATAGCCCATTACGCTTTTTAAATAAGGAGCCAAGTGTTTCTTAACTTTGAGGATAAGTTTTTCAAAAGCTTGCTGTGTGGCTTCTCGAACCCGGCGGTCATGGTCCTATTGCAAGGATAGTATGGTTTAAAATCATTCTACTGAAACAAATACAGATATTTTGGAATATGCTGTGATAACCCATCAATAAGAATGCAACTATGTACAGAGCTAGACAAAAAATCAACTATGTAAAGAAACTGATTATTTTTTTCCTTCTCCCAAGATGATAATTGTACTAAAATTAGAGTTCAGGCTAGGCCTTATATGATTAAGCAATTGGTTCTCATTCTTCTGGGGCAAATATACAAAGAAATTAAACTGCCAAACTTTATTGTGACTAGAAAGCATCTGGGTAATTCTGACCTAATTTTGGAAAACACAACAAACTCCCTACACACCTCACACAACTAAATGATCCGATCTGTGTACAACACCGACAAACCATTTCATCACCCTCACCACCAACGTCATCTCTATCTGACAGTCCCCATAACTTCAAATACATACAACAGAAATTAACTAGTCGGCTCTTAATACTTACAAGAGAAATTTTGCAAAAAATTCTTGGCCAGTATGGAAGAACTCCTTTTACAGTTTCTGCATCTCTCTCTATACACATGGTTCCAAATTCTTGCATAGCCTGAAAGTAAATTATTAACATTGTTAAGGATCAACAGTCATAATATTGGCTATTGTCTATATTTATTCTGCTCTGGAAGCTTTGTCTATTTTATGTACACTGTTTCTGTTTGTGCCACATGGAACAAACTGAAAGAGTTCCTTTAAATGCTAGTATGGTAGAAACTTTCCAGCTATTTTTTAAAAATAAAATATATGCAGCCCTGGCTGGTGTGGCTCAGTGGATTGAGCACACCAATGCACGCAGGCCTTTCAGCCTACCAACCGAAAAGTCGCCAGATCACCTCCCTCTCAGGGCACGTGCCTGGGCTGTGGACCAGGCCCCCAGCTGGGGGCGCATAAGAGGCAAGTGCACAAGAGGCAGCCACAAACAGATGTTTCCCGTGCACATCACTGTTCCTCTCTCTCTCCCTCCCATCCCCTCTTCTCTGAAAATAAATCTCACAAAACTTTAAATAAATAAACATGCAAACAAAAAAATCCCATTTAAAATTATAGGGTCAAATTACATTCTCTAACGGAAGTAAAAGTATACAGCCAGAAATCCAAAGTGGTTCAAAATGAGCAGAATAACACATTAATTTATAACCTAGAAGATAAGTACAAACTAAGCTTAAGTCTGCGTGTCAGAAAAAAAGTATAACTGTAAAAGAAATTATGTACAGTGATTCATTTTCCTTTACATCAAATATGGCAACGATATTTTAATAAAAGGACTATGTTATTTAAAAATTTATGAAAACAATAAACTTGCTTTTAATTTTGTTGTGACATCTTTCTTAGAAAGTTTCCGTAGGACCATTCGGAAATCAGAATCTACAAGACTATCAATTTCTTCAGCTCCTTGAACAGCAGGAACATAGCCTAGGTCACTCTGGAATGTTCCAAAACCAATAAATCCAGGCACAGTTCCCTGTTCTTTTGCCAGAAGTTCTGCAGCTCGGCCACTGTTTGAAGGCTGGTAGAAAGTAGAGAGAAAAAAAAATGTCAGAGTACAAGAAGAATTCCAAATTTACCTTTGAGTTCTGTAGAGTATAATTCCTGGATAATTCACATGACAGAACAAGCTTCTGAGTTTTCTTCTTAGCCTAAGATTTCATGTATTGCAATGTTTCCCAAAGATAAATGTTTCTATCAACAAGAAGTTATCAATAATGATCCCAAGAGGTATTTCCTGGTTTTCTAAACATCAGAAAAATGTTTTTTAAACTGGATACAATCCATTAGGTGCTCATGATATCTAGTTAATCAGTTACAACAGCATGTTAAAGACATAGAATAAAATATTTAAAATCAGAGAAGCATCATGTATAGTAAGCCTAAGTACTGTTTCATAAAATGTTTTATTTCCAACTTTTGCATAAATAGTATGTGCACTGCGTAATGATGTAAAAATAACTGAAATGGATTACATCTTTTCACTCACCCATTCATTCAACAAATATTTATTAAGTAACCACAATGGAACAAGCCTAACCACAGCTGTTTCCAGACTAGGAACTCCACGAGGACAGACACACTCACTGCCACATACTCAAACTTCTTTGGGCTAAAATAGTTACAAATTACATTATTATTGACATAGAAACCCATATGATGGTTAGGTTATAAGATATATTACTTTGTTTTGAACCATAATCAGCAGTCTGTCCGACTGATACACAAAGTAGCAGTCTCCTAGTACTAAAAGTTAAGGGATTAGTTGTGACAAATAAAATATTTGAACTGCTAAAAGAAATTAACATATTGTAATCTAAGAGAAAAATTCCTCAGTCCAATGTTTGGGATGACATTACAACCTACCTAAACCTGTTTCTTACCTCTTTATGAGAATGTTTAAAAAGGGTTATCCAAATGTGTGATTCGATTTTCTCATACCTAGCAAAATTGTGTGTAGTAAACTGATTTATCAAGGAAAAATCTGGACCATATTCTAAACTGAAATGAATAATTAAAACTGAAAACGAATTACTTTCTATCAAAACAAGGGTTATCCAAATGTGTGATTCAATTTGCTCGTACCTAGCAAAATTGTGTGTAGAAACCTGATTTGTTAAGGAAAAATCTGGACCACATTCCAAACTGAAATGAATGATCAGAAATGAAAATGAATTAATTTTTTACCAAAATAAGAGCATTTAAGACTAATTGCAAAATAAACGGTTCTCTATTTTAAAACTTTATTAAAGTGAACATTACTCAAAGAGCTACAAAGAAAGTTAGTGAACTACAATTCTGAAAACTACATATGATGATCTTAGTACATCAGAATTTCATCTGTAATCCCATTTGTAAACTTCTTTATGAGGAAACAGAACATTGAAGTAGTATAAAAAAGAAATAGTTGCTGAAAGCTAAAGGGGTCAGGGTGAATTCTGAACTGACCTGAATGATCACAACTAGACAGTGGTAAGTAGGATCAGAAGGTACCACTTCAAGTTTCCAATTTAAAAGTAACAAATTATTCTTTAATGTACTGATTGTATCTTTTATGCAATATCTACTTTGAGTTTAAAATATAGTTACTGTTTCATATTATTTACTCTACTGTATGTTAGATATTATACCCACAGTTTGAAAAGAAACTTTATTACTGGCAGTTAATTTTCTTGTGCTTCATTCTCCTGTGCCTGTCTTCCAGAGATGAAGAGGTAGCACAGCTGTGTCTACAGTTTCAATCCAAAACTCAGGACGGATCTTCCACCACTTCACCTCCACCATTTCCACTCCATTCTTCTACCACCCTTTTTCTCCCTTGTTCCAAACGAGCTGCCAAGATTTATGTTCCAGTCCCAAGTTGACTTGAAGGGTCCCTGAAATATACCCTACCCTTTTCACGACTTGGTTTTTGCATAATCTTATCTCTCCACCTGAAAATTTCTCCTTCCTTTTCGTTGTTTGACAAACTCCTATTCATCCTTCAAAACATAGTGGTGTTTTCAACACCTGCCTCTCTCAGGTCAACCCCCATTCTTTTCTGTTGTTCCACTTCCTTTCTACTCATACCCCATCAACATTCCCTGACATATTATAGTTATCTGCATACTCATCTGTTTCTATCATCAAGAAAAGGGGATGTTTGTCTGTCACCCTTGAGTACACTGCATTCGGGATTCTAAGTCTTCTGCTTAAATCAACCACTGCCATTCAAATCCCAGCTCAGCAACTTCCTGGTTACATGAGCTCAGGTAAATTTCTTTAAAACTCAGTACCATCAGCCCTGGATTGAGCTCGGGCCTGTGAACCAAAGGATCGTGGTTCAATTCCCAGTCAGGGCACATGCCTGGGTTGTAGGCCAGTTCAGGTCAGGGGACGAATGAGAGGCAATCATACCTTGATATTTCTTTCCCTCTCTCCTTCCCTTCCCCTCTAAAGATAAATAAATACAATCTTTAAACAAAACAAAACTCAGTACCATCAGGTTTAAAGTGAAATAACTGTAACTAAATAATTATTTGGGTTGTTGTCAAGATTAAACATAAGTTTTTTAACCAGCGTAGTCATAACTGATTCCAGCAATTATCATCAAAGAATGCTAAAACCATTAGATGAAAGCGTGTGGGAGAAAATATGATATTCCCAGGCTCGAGGTACCACTCCAGGCATTATTTTGATAGCCAGTGGAAAAGCTGTCTTCCCCAAGTGATTAATCAAACACCACCACCCCCAGGACAAACAGGCACCACGTGTCCCTGCAGTGATGCACTGAGGTGCTTCATCTATGCAATCATAAGAAACAAACAATTTTAAATTAAGCTGGTCTAGACTCTTCCCCATAAAAGTACCGCGGGGCGGGGGGAGGGGGGGGCAGGGCGGGCAGGTAGTATTGGGAAACTGTCAAGAGCTAACTAAGTAAAAAGGAATGAGTGATCCCAGACTGGATATTGGATGCTTTTTGAATGCTGTTTCTAAACATAAAGTTACAGAGAACATTACTGAAATGGCCACAGAAATCTTAATACAATGCCGTATATTACTAGCTAACAGTATTATACTAAAGTTAAATTTTCTGCCGCGTTGTAACTGTTGATGGTTATGTAGAAGAATGCCATTATTTTTAGAACACACATGATTTAGGAGTTGTCGTAGTTTTTGCAAGTAATTCTCGTAAGGCTCAACGAAATACAATACTTATACAGGGAAAGCAAGTGTGCTCAAATATTAAGAGCTGGTGACTCTAGGTAGAGACTAGTTGTCTACCTAGTCACTGTAATATTCTTGCCTGTTCTCTAATATTCTTTCGCTTATACTGGGACTACTTCAGAAACAAAATATTGAGGACATGTGTTAATTAAAAAGCCCAGGTTCCATAAGGAGTCCGTGTAGCCAGAGAAGGGACGGAGGCGGCGGTAGCGGCAGCGGCGGCGGGGAGAGCGGTGGCTTCAGCCCGGACCAGGAACCCCGCCGCGACCCCACGACCCCGAGATCGCCGACTCCGGGTCCGAGGCCGCCGGCTCAGACCGGCGGGCAGCCTCCCTCTGAAACCACCACTGAAGCGTCAGTTAAAGAAAAGTGTGTGCGCGGGGGCAGCTCGGCGCAGAGCACCTTTGCTCTCCCAGCCCCGCCACCAGCCAAGACACCACCTGCCGGCGGGGACGCGCTCCGGGAGGTCATGCCCCACACGCGCCCACGCTGCCCCGCAGCCGCGCTGCGCACGTCCCCGCTCGGCCCGGCCACCTCGCGCTCACCCTCAGGTTCCCCTTGGTCCGCTGCTTGTTCTTCCCGCCCATGGCCGCGCTCTCGCCGCACTCTCAGCCGCAGCCCCCGGTGGAAACGGCAGGACCACAACTTCCGGCTCTGTTGCCGGAAGTGGTTCATGAAAGAACTTCCCCGGCCCTCCCCTTCCTCCACCTACCCAGCCTCCCGCTGCCCCACTTCCGCTCCGGACTCCCGCTGAGGCCAAGACTCCCTTCCCGCACCACCTCACAATTGGAGCCACGCCTGTCTGGCTGACGTCAACTCTGTCCAATAGGCAGCCGAGCGTGGGACCGCGGCGCCGAATCCCTGCTGCTGCGGTCCAGGGAGGCGACTTTGGTTCCCAGCTCCGCGAAGCGGAGACTGGCGCGGGCTGAGAGGCGTTTTCGACTGTGGGTGGCGGCAGAACGACGTGGCGGTGGCTGTGGGGATAGGCGGACCGGTTTGGCCCTTCAGAACGCAATCATAGTGTTGTCGGGCGTTTGATGGAAACGCAGGCCTTCGGGCCCGCTCGCGACTGTTAAATCAGATTCTGCGTTTGAAACCGGATATCCAGGCCTTGTTAAAAATTTGAGAAGTAATGCTCTAGGCCTTATTCCCCCCGAATTCACACTTTTTCACATTGTAATTGTAACGTGCAGTTTTTTAAAAAAGCATAATGTGGCAGTCCTAATTTTTGAGACGTACGGATCTCGTAGTTCGGGATTTTGCTTCTGAGAATCACCGGACAAAACAAGCGCATGATGCTGGTGATGGCCTCGCATGTCCACTCTCCCTCTCGTATTCCACGGCCGGATACTGAGCTCCGCAAACTCCTTTTATTCGGCTGGCTCCTCGGCAGGCGCTGGGACAGCCCCTCTCTTTCCACGTCGCCCCGGCGGCGGCCTTTGCTCCGGAAACTGCAACCGCGTCCGGCAGCAGCGGGTTCAGTCTCCTGCCTTTAAACCATCGGACTGGCCTCACCGCGCACCTCGGGGAGCCAGCGGCAGCCGGCGGCACCCACCCCCAGGTGGCCGAGGTCCTAGGCTCAGAGGTCCGCACCCCGACTCCGCAGGTCCCTCTGTTGAGCCCCTGGACACCCTCCACAGCCAGACGCCGGCCTCTCCACGACGGGAACCGAGCTGCAGCTGCCGGGGCCTCCCACAAACTACTCTGATCACCCCTTTCCCTTACCGCCTTCCTCCCCTCCTCACCGTGCCCCAGGGACAGGAGCTGCGGCCGCGGTGAAGACCTCCGTGACCTTTTTTTTTTTGCTTTTAAAATCCCGTTTAACCAATTCCCCACATTAATGTTGTTTTCCTTAACTCTCCTTAACAAGTAGTGAAGTTTATTTCCCTGTCCGGACGCCATGGCATCAGATCCCCAGATTGTGCCTCAGTGGGAGCCTCCTGGTGCCCCTCGGCAGGGTTCTGATGGGCTCAGTTTACGCTAAGTTGTGTCATCGGGCGTGTGTGTCCTTAACTCTCGGCTGCCTTGCGGTCTTTAGGGACATTCACTAATGACATATTCCGTTGCGTTTCTCCGATATACTGAAAATACAGTTTTCTTAAAAAAAAAAAGAAAGAAAGAAATAACCCTGGCTGGTGTGGCTCAGTGGATTGAGCACCAACCCGAGAATGAAAGGCTCACCCGTTGGATTCCCAGTCAGCGCACATGCGTGAGTTTCAGGGCTGCATCCCCAGTAGGTGCACTACCCTTTGATGTTTCCCTCTCTCCCACCCTTTCCCTCTGTCTAAAAATAAATACAGTCTTTGTAAAAGAAATTTTATTAATAAATAGTAAATAGAATGAGCAAAGACTGAAAATGCTTTAGCAGTTTAATCCTGCTAAAAGTAGTATATGCAGCATCTGGCCCTTTTGGGGGCCTCTGGGGATGTCAGATCCCATGTGTTGGGGGGATCCATCCGAATCTGAAAGTGGCTGGCGGAGTCAGAAACCAGAGTTAAGGGGCAGGTCCATCTGGCTGTGTGGTGGCCATGGATATGGCAGGGGGGGCGGGGGTGGGACAGTCTGAGGAGGAGCACAGGGCTCTCACCCAATGCAGTCAGACCAGTCAGTGCCATTCTGTCCTTACAGGAACACCAAGGCCACTGCCTCCTTAGTTCTTTATTCCTGCTGGCTTTTACTGACAGTCACATAGGTTGCCTGCAACTCATTACTAAGATGACCAATGCATTGTGTCCCTCTTAATACCATTCTTCTAACCGAGTCTCACACATCAAGGAACACCCAACACAGCATCAGCCTGAGTGCTAGCAAGCTAGTGAAGAAACACTTAGTAAGCACTTTTGGAGCTAGCTGTTGGGGGGCCTGCAAAACCAGGCTGAGTGACTGTGACTGTAGGTGAACTTCCTGAAACTAAATTTACACAAAATCATTTCCAGAATAAGAAAATTGTTCAAATGCAATATGCCAAAAATGAATCCTCTAAATTACCAATTTGATGGGCGATTGAGGCCTGTTAAAAAGTGTGAGCTCTGCTTGTGCCTCAGCCTTCTGTGAGGCAAGCCCAAGGATGGAACCCAGTATGGAGAAGTGTACAAACCCAGAGGTGAGTGGCAAACTCCACTGAAGAAAACTTCATCCTGGCTGGTGTGGCTCTGGCCTGCAAACTGAAAGGTCACCGGTTTGATTCCCAGTCAGGGCACATGCCTGGCTTGCAGGCCAGGTCCCAGTGGGGGACATGCGTGAAGCAACTGATTGAATTCTCTCTCACATCAGTGCTCTCTCCCTCTTCTTCCCTCCCTTCCCCTCTCTCTTAAAAAAAGAAATAAAATCTTTAAAAAAACAAAACAAAAAATTCACCTATTTGTGTATCAAATGTTTGGGGTAGATCTAAAACTAAAGTTTTGAAAAATATGTTTGGCAAAATAGCTTTCAACTGCTAGTAAGAGGCACACAAACAGCCTTGGCCACTGTGGCTCTGTTGGAGAGTGGTCCAGTAACCAAAAGTGTTGCGGGTTCGATTCCTGGTCAGGGCACATACTTAGATGGCAGGTTTAGTCCCCGGTCAGGGTGTGTATGAGAGGCAACCAATAGATGTTTCTAAGCATGTTCTTGGTGAGGATTAAAATTTTTTTAATAAAGAGAAAGGTGATTTTTATTTCTTGAGTTTCAGATCTTTATTTAAGCCCATGCTAATGTATTTACATTGACACAAATATTTGTTGGATTTTTAGTCCCTAAATAATGCTTTACTGAATAATGAGCTCATTAACTTTTTTTTTTTTAAGATTTTATTTACTTATCTTTAGAGGGGAAGGAGAGGGGGAGACAAACATCAATGTATGGATGCCTCTAGTGCATCCCCTTCTGGGAACTGGCCTGCAACCCAGGCATGTGCCCTGACTGGGAATCGAACCACGATGTTCTGGTTCACAGGCCTGCGCTCAATCCACTGAGCTACACCAGCCAGGGCTAGGATTAATTTTTTTTAAGAGGCACACAAATATAAATTAAATTGTTTCTATTTCACAACAAGCTGTCTAGAGATAGGTAGGGGCTGGCGCAGCCTGACAACACGCCGTGGAATCTCCGCAGTTCCCCGGGCCCTCCCTGCCCTTGTGGCTGAAAGGAGTACTGCAGCCCCAGCAGAAAGAGGGAGCGGAGGTGCCCTGGCTGTGTCCATCTTGTTAATCAGGAAAGCAAAAGTCTTCCGAGGCATCCCCTAGCCAAAGTCACCTGAGCTGCCAGAGAGGCCGGGAGAGCTCATGGGGGCAGGTAAAGGGCAAGGGGTTGAGAATGGGTGGCAAGATGGGTCACCAACACAATCTAACTCAAGTCAAATTAATTTCTCTTTCAAAATGGGCATATAAAGAAATTTCAATACCTTTAAGGGTATAACTTAAAACTCAGTACTGCTTTCCATCAGGACATATTTTTAACACATGCACTTCAGCTGTACTACTTTTTCACCCCTAACATTCTAGAATGGGATGGAAGTAAAATTACTTCATATTTCAAGAAAGAGTGGATAGAAAAAACAAGTGGCCAACAGTGACAAAATACTTCCAACTCCTCCTCTACTCAGTCATTGTCCTTCTACACCAAAGAGCATCTGGAAAACCCCCCCACACCCTTTGGCATTCAAAAACTGATACAGCTGACCAAAGTCCATGTGGTTTCCTCTGGGTCCATTAACACTGAACACTTTTTCCTCAAAGCCTGAAAATTTTCTTTGTCTTTCCATTTCACCATTTGTGCCATCCAAAGGAATGTCTTCTCGGTGGCGAATCAAAATTCTCTTCCAGTTTAATTTTCTGAGCCTGAAAAGAAATTTTTGAGTAGAAAATTTAAAACTATGTTGTGCATTCTAGGGCACTGACAATATTGTCCTAGAAGTGAAGAAGCCTGTATTTATGTCAGGGATCTATTTTAAGCAAATGCGATTCTAGTCCTAACCCTAACCCCAAACTTATTTACTGCCATTACCACTGATGTGGAAATTACTGAATCTCAAACGGCCAAAAGGGGCTTCTCAGAAACTCACTTAGGGTGTCTATGGAGAAATGAGACAATTAGAAATTCCCTTGTTTCACAGGGAATACACAGCTCAAGATGAGGGGAGAATCAGATCCATGAGGATGGAGGGCCCTGGTTCAACATCTGCTTACAGACATCTCCCAGGTACACTGTGTCAGGTAAGGGATATGATGCTGACCACACGGGGGGGGGGGGGGGGTTCTATTTGATCCACCGACTTGAGGCTGAATTCCCACGAGATACAACCTCAGGGTCGTACTTAGTTCTAGATCTCCAGTTCTAGTTCAGTACTAAAATGACAGACAGCACACAAAATCTGTGAAAGCGAACCTGGACCAGAATTCTTCACAAGCACTTTGTAGGCCTTCCACACAGACAACGCCTGGTTTCCCTGGCATGCTGAACCCAGACAGGGAAAGCTCCTTCGCCCACTCCAGAATATGCTTCCTTTTGCATTTGTTGTAGATGTGGTGGCTATAGATCCAGAGTCTCGTGAGAACGAGAAGGGTGGGCTGGACTGCACCTCCTGAAGTGGGAAGAGGGGCAATGTCTCTGCTGACAAAGGCAGGGGCGTGTTCTCTAACCCAGTCGGTGGCATGCAACACACAGACATCTCCAAGGCAATTCTTCTGCAGGTGTGCGGTCAGATCCGTGTTCAGCTGAGTCTGCTGGGATCTACTTAATGATAGTGATCTGCTACCAAATAAGTGGGAGAAAAAAATTAAGTCAATTTTCTTGGAACAGAAAACAAACTCAAGAATTGCTTTTATCCCCCAATTAATTTTGAACCCCTAAGTTAGCCAGTTCCCGTAACACACCTGACAGTGATTTCAGGCAGGACTGCAGGGTATTTAAAGGGAAGAGTGCAGGCCAGGGAAAACACCACCTGATCAAAAGAGAAGAAAAAGGCCCTAAGCGCTTGTTCTAGGTCTTGACCTGTTTCAATCCTCCCAAAAGCAAAACTGAATTACCATTGCCCCAGAAGCTACGTCCAGGTTCATGTTGATTGTAAAGTACACTTTCGAAGATCGCCCTTCCATTGACCTCTTTTCAATGCAATCTTTCAGTTCTGCAACAGCCAGCTGGTCATTCACTACGAGCTCATTCTCACCAGGGAACATGCTGGCCAGCAGGTCTAACTCAGAGAGCTGGGCCTCAGCCTGTTCCATCTCAACCATTTTCATCTACCTATAAGTTTCTATGGAGGTAAGAATAAGACAGACAAATAACACATACAATCTTGGACGAACTCTGCAGATTATTCAAAATGCATTTGATTTCTTCATAAAATGTGTAATTTAATCAGAGTATCTTTCCTATTGTTCAACTTTGTAGTATGTTGTAACATGTATGTAATAGATATAATATGTTAAGGACCTAAAATGTGGGACAGTCCATTGAGAAGACTAAAACTCTAATAATAACCAGGAACCAATTCCTACATATCTAGATAGTTGATCAGGCTTCTTGAGCTACCACAATAGGCAATTTCATTAAAGAAATCTAACTATGGAGTGAAAAGGCGCATATCAGGGGCCAGGAAAGAGGCTGTGACAGACTGCCTTGGAAACCTAAAATGAACAGAATAAAAGAGCTAATTATATGGATGGCTAATTTTCTCTTAACTTAATGTTAAATGTATTAGTTTTTAAAGATCAGAAGAATGTGAAAAGAAAATAAAGACTGGTAATTATTCCACAGCTCAAGTAACCACTGTTAATATTTAAAAAGTACAAGGTTAGAAAATTCAAGTAGAAGAGAAAAAATTTAAAATGAAGGTATAGTTTCCTGCCCTGGCCAGGCAGCTCAAATGCTTGGAGCATTGTCCCGATACGCCAAGGTTGTGGGTTCCATCCCGTGTCAGGGCGCACCTGAGAATCAACCAAAGAATGCATCAATAAGTGGAACAAAAAATTCTGTCTGTCTGTCTGTCTCTCCCCCCCTCCCCCCAATCTGAAGTCAATAAATAAAAAAAATTTTAATGATGTAGCTTTCTGCTGGTAGTCTCTTCTTCTACCTAAATCCCCAATCCAAGGCAAAGAGGTTTTGGTGTTTTGTATCTGAAAAAAATTTAAGCATTACACAGACACACATGAAGCCATATGCTGATATAATGTGTAAATGCATGTAGAGAGTGAGATATAGAAATGTAATTGAAATGTATCCGAAGGGGATGACACCGTCATGCCCCCGAACCACACTCGGTGCATTGTCAGCACAGGGCGACCCCGGTCTCTCTGGTGAGTGACTGTCCTATTGAGTCATGTAGATAATTTGTAACTTACTGTGTTCTTTGCCTTGGACATGTGGGTTGTTTCCACATTTTGGGGGTTCTTTTTATACATACAGTTTGATGAACATACATGTTTAGTTTGGTAATGCTCTCTATACAAGGATAAGTGTGTAGAGATGGCTTGTCAAAACGACAGGCACAACATTGTAAATTCTGCGAGATGTCACTGAGTTGTCTTCTAGAAAGTTACCATATGGAAATTTAAATTTTTTTACATAGTTCCCACCTAAAAAAAAAATTAAGACATCATCTTGTCATGGTGTTTTGTGTCTGGGTCGGACACTCAAACAGGGTTTTCGGGCCAGGTAGGACTCTTAACAAAAGACAAAGAGGAAAGAGCTGATAAAGCACTTGAAGAAATAATGGCTGAAAACTTTCCAACTGTGTCAAAAGACATAAACGAATTAAAAAAGCTGAACATATCTTAAGCAGAATGGACCCAGATAAATCCATATCAAGACACATCATAGTCAAAGTCCTGAAAATTAAAAACAAAGACAATATACCAAAAGCAGCAACAGAGAAATGAACCTTAGCTATGAGGGGAAAAGATCATTTAGGAGGGCACTTCTCATCAGAAATTGTGAAGGCCAGAAAGAAGAGACATAGTATCTTTCCCCTGCTGAAAGTAAAGACAGATCATCCTGCAGTACTAGATCCTGTGGCAATACCCTTCAGGAATGAAGGCGAAATCAAGACATTCTAAGAGGAATGAAACAACTACTAACAGTTGGCTAAATGTGGGTAAAAGGAAAGGACTTTAACTTTCCAATTCATGTGCTTCAATATTACTTGTAGTTTTGTGATTAGTCTGCAGTTCTAAATGCAGCAGGAAGAAAGGTTACACTTGGGAAAAAGAAAGACCTCAATCCCATTGGTATAAAGGAAAACATGCTTACCTACTCTGTAAAATCAAACACCATTATTTAGGTTCTTGGTCTGTTCATGGAATCCTTTCTCCTCTTTGGTAAAGGTTTACCGAGCTGCTACTATATGCAGAACTTCACCCATCCCTCCTTCCTGGAGCCTTCTATTTAGTTTGAGGATCAGGAGATAAATCCAACAAGGCCTAGAGCAATGAAGATAAAAAGACTTGGTGGTAAGTAACCAGTATAGGTTTTATCTCGGGGATGCAGATGAGGGCACAATGACATGGGCTGCCAGGAAAGATTTGGTGACAGTGGCAGGATCTGAGCGGAGCCTTGGAAGGAGAAGACTCAGATGAGTGGAGCAGGAGCCCCAGGGGGAGAGAGCAGGAAGGTTTGGGGGGGGGGCGGGCAATGAGGGCAGCATAGGCCTGGACTGTCCCTTCCTCACATGCCAAGGCATAATTCAGAAGCTCATAATTTGGACTATTTTCTCTTGTGCTCCTTACTTGATGTTTGTCCCCTGGACCCGTTCTGGCCTTTCTTTTCCCTCTGGACAACTGACCTCTGCAGCCTACAGCACTGGCGTCTTCTGCCTTTCTTGTGGTTGGGTTCAGACAGTGTGCAGGCAGGAAGTGGGAGGATGGGGGAGGGAAGATTCAGGGACTTCTTCGCTGGTCTTCTCTGCGTTGGTAGGATTTTGACAATGGTGGTGATCAACTAAAGACCACATCTTCTGCAGGCAGCCCTCGTTCCACAACTCCAGCCGACCTCTCGGGCCTAGGGGTAGGCGTGGTTCCTTCAAACTTGGCCGTGCTCTGTAAATTGCCTCTTTACTAAGATCTCTTCTAAGTTTCATAGTTGAGCATGTGTTTATTTTCCTCCAGACTCAAGTTTTCTTAACTTGCACTCCACATTGTCATTGCAGTGACTAAGCATAGTGTCTACTAGATGCATACAGAAACGAGCAAGACACTATAAGAGAAAAAAGTTAACCTAACTGGTGGCTTGGCAGCAGTGTTGCAATCCAAGGGGAAGGAGCAGCATGTTAGCGTCCCCCCCCCGCCCCCTCCCTGCAGGGGCGGCGGGGGGGGGGGGAGCAGAGGAGAAGCTAGCCCGCCCTACAGCTACACAGGGGAGTGAAGCTGGCAGTTTCACAGACTCAGCAGCAGGAAAGGCCACGCCTTGAGATGGATCTGCTCCTGACAGGATGCCTCACATGGTCAGTATGACGCCTGGAAGAAAGGTTACACTTGGGAAAAAGAAAGACCTCAATCCCATTGGTATAAAGGAAAACATGCTTACCTACTCTGTAAAATCAAACACCATTATTTAGGTTCTTGGTCTGTTCATGGAATCCTTTCTCCCCTTTGGTAAAGGTTTACCGAGCTGCTACTATATGCAGAACTTCACCCATCCCCCCTTCTAGAAACATGTCTCTCTATTCAAGTCTTCTCTGTTTCATCCAATATGCTTGGATCATTTCTTTAACATCAGAAAATGGTACTTGGTCAACAATTTAGCTAGTTCATTGTAGGGTCCTTTTAAAGAACAGAAGAACTTTCACTGAAAAAAGGAAGTGGATTATTCAAGGTGGCAGATCATGAGCTGCCTCGGGTCCTGTCAAAAACACATCCAAGACTGTGGGGTGACTCCATGTGACTGGGCATTGGGGTTCGGTGGAACCATCAGGAACACGCATCAGGAACACAGGAAGTGCTCTCACACACGCTGGGCTGCCGCACTCATCAGCGTGTAAAGCAGTGCCAACGCCACTTCATTCCTAATGCCAGTGCCACACCGGGGAAAAAATTACAGTGTTCTGTTTAAGTAAGTTATTGAAATGCAGAATGACACAAAGTTCAACAGGTTTATTGAGGGTGACCACGGGTCATCCTGCTGTCCTGACTGATCTAGTATTGATCTTAGACAAAAGGGACATTTGGACAATAGATTATATGGGCACATTTTTTGTGTGTAGCTCTATTGTTACCTCCTAATGTGCACCATGAATCTCTTAAGAGGAGGCTTTAATATGCATAGGATCCCAAACCCACCTGACCCTAGGTCATTTTTTCCAGACATAGTGACATTAGCTCTTCCCTACACAGATCAGGAATCCCTGGTTGTCATCTAGCCACTTCAATTTAAGTAGTTGATTACCAAGGCTACCTACCATCTTCACTGAGTCCTTTAAACAGTTTTCTTTACTAGCAAGTGATTTCATATAATTTTAATGTCCTACTATTTTCACTTGGCATCCTAACTTAAGCATTTGCTCTGTTACTAAAACCCCCCCATAAATATTTATAATTCCTGGACTTATTTGAATTCTACAAATATCTTTTCTAACCTGTTTTGAAGTTGAAGACTCTAGGAAACAACTCATTGGGTGGTTATTAGAGGAAATGAATTCACTTTGGTCTTTTGATTGTATCAGTTTATGTACTGTTGCCAGACTGCCAAAGCACCACTTACCAACTGTGACCTTAGGCGGGTGGTTAACTCTATGCCTCAGTCTCACAGTCTCCAAAATGGAAGGACAGGGTTGCAGTGAGGACTGGCTGAGGTTGTGTGCAAACTGCATGAACCAGTGCTTGGCAACAGAGGAAGTGCTAGAAAAGTGCTGCTACTACTGGTACTGGTCGCTCATTCCACAAAGGTTTCTTGAGCACCTATTGCATCCAGCTGTCCTTGGCACTAAGATTGTAACAATGAACAGAAGTGAAAAAACCAACCCCTCCCCCCAAACCAACAAAATTCTGTTTTCACCCCTGGCTGATGTGGCTCAGTGGAGTGCATGGTTATGAACCAAAGGGTCACAGCTTCCATTCCCAGTCAGGGAACATGCCTGGGTTTCCGGTTAGGTCCCCAGTAGGGGGCGCGTGAGAGGCAACCACACATTGATGTTTCTCTCCCTTTCCCTGTCTCTAAAAATAAAGAAAAAAATTTTTTTAAAGTTTGATGTATAGATCTTCATAGGTGCATCTTCTACTTGGTGTTTTCTAGGCATTTTTCAATTTAATTAAATAATCTAGTTTTTCTTCAAGTTTTATAAAACATTTCATGCATATTGCAAAGTTGAGAATTTTACAGTGAAACAGTGGAACAATCCTCAAAGGAAGGAGAGGTGGGGGCGGGGCGGGGGAAAATGACTCTGCTCCCCAGGGAACATTCAATAAAGTATGAGAACATTTTGGGTTGTCACAATGGATGGGTGTTTTGGGCACCTAATGGGTAGGGCCCAGGGATGCTGCTCCAGTTACTACAATACACATGACGTGCCCCTACAAATAAAAAATTTTGCTGGTCCAAAATGTGCATAGTGCTGAGGTCAAGAAACTGACCTAAACACTTTACCATTTTTATTAACCAGCTATTTTTATTTTTATTCTCATCTAATCCATCTACCAACCCATCCATTCTCATGCATTTCTACAGACATTAGTATACTTCTCCCTACTTCAGCATGCATAACATTAGTATGCAAATTAATGTTTTTCTTTTGAGGTAAAAATGGAATGCGGATCTTGAGTTTTGATACCTTTGTACAACTGTGTAACTCAAACCCTTGGTCAGTCCCTGCCCAACCCCCTCAAGGCAGCCACTGCTCTGGTTTTTTCACTGCAATTCGATTGGCCTATTCTAGAAATTCATAAGGCAGAACCATACAGTAGGTACTTGGCGTATGAATTGTACCACACTGTTTTACAACTCATCCATGTTCTCGTATTAGTAGTTTCTTTCTATTGCTTAGTGGTATGTCACCATGTGACTATACCAGTTTTTCCATTCTTTTGATGAAAAGTGGCTGTTTTGTTTGTGGCTGCTCTAAACATTCTTGTACAATCATTTCATTAATAACTGTTTCTTCAGCAAGTACTAAACACTATGTTCTGGACACTCTAGGTACTAGATATGCAGCAATGAACTAGACAAAGATGTCCCAACTCTTAAGGGGTTCACAATTATCCGTGTGTATGGGGTTGGGGTGCGGGAGGGACGTAAATACGTAAGTAAACATGAAAGAAAAATACCAGATGGTGGTAAGTGCTGGGCAAAGAAGTAGCACAGGGTGAAGCAAGTGAGCAAGGAGCGGTGTCCTACGTCGCCCACCCGTTTTTCTGGGACACGGTGACGTTCGCGCTGTGCAGAGTTACAGCGAGATGCCCACTACGGAGCACGAGGGGAACAGCATTGGGAGGGGGCGGGGAGCAGGTGGGCGGACGGCCACAGGATTGTTTCAGAACAGAAACAAAAGCCTGTGTGCTTAGTAAGACAGCCGGTAAAACAGTGTCAGCTGCACCAGGCCGGAGGGCCAGTATCCCCAACTCACGACTCCGGCCAATTCAACAAGTTAGGGGCCACTTTCCTCCCGGGGCTTATATGGATGAAATTTGTTGGTTTAGCTGTGAGTTGCCACTTCTGTCCGTGGCCTGTTTCCTACAGCTGGACAGCTGCAGCTCTCTGCCTCGTATCACGGAGCCTGAACGGCAGGGCTGAGTTAGCAGCTACTGCAACTTAAAGGTGCTCGCTCGGCTGGCCTTCCGACGCCCTGTGTCTGACCAAAGCGCCACCCACCAGACTACACTCTTCCGACGGCCACCAGGAACCCACCTTTAAGAGCGACGAGCGCGAAACCAACCCACAAGCCAAGTGGGAAACACACTCACATCTGGACTTCCGGTCCGAGCCGTGAGCAGGCGCAGACGGCGCCAGCGCTGCTGGACCCTGGGCCAACGCCACTTCCCAAGATGCCGCGCAGCGGAAGTTGCCGTTTTCTGGTGGCCACTCTGGCTTCCGCTCTGTCGCTTGTTATTCGTCACCGGGAGGAAGACGACGCTGGCTGACCAGAGGCCTACGACGAGCTGCACTTATGGGCGCTGTCGCTGTGGGTGAGTTCGGCCCCGCTGAGTCTCGGCCCGCGCGCCCTCCTGCGCTCCGGCACAGTAAGGTCCTGCTCCGCCTCGCTCTCTTCTGCACAGCCGCCCTGCTTCAGGCGCGGTTCCGGCCTCGGCCCGGTACCGCGTCCTCATTGGCCTCACGTCCTGTCATTCCCAGGAGCTGGCCAATGAGTTTTCGGTGCTGGCGCCCCTCTCGACCTGGGGGACACCCGCGGCTCCCGCGGGAGGTAGCAGCGGCTGGGGAGGGGCGTGGTTCTCGGGTGAGCGGGGTCGGCCCCCCTCTTGGCTCTGACCCCAGGGTGGGACTCGGGTGCGCCGAGCTCGGTGCAGCTCTTCTGTGGTTAATGCTACCGCGCAAGCCTGGGAAGCCCGGGGCGGCGGCCGGGGAAAAGGCTGAATTAACGCGAGAGCCGGTGCGACCGGCTCTCCTTTCAGTGTTGAGTGCAGTCCTGCGGAGTCTTTAGACTGAGAAGTCCGTGATCATCTGAAGACTCGCCTGAATAACTCAGTATGATTTATGGGTGCTTTACAGGGGGCGGCACCACTGCACTCTCTGGTCATCTCTCTTTAGATGTCCTTCGTAGTTGTCAGAAATGTAGTGGAGCTCTTTGCACAGAGCTGAAGTCGCCCCCTGCCCTCGCCGCGCAGAGTTTACAGCTCGCCGTTCCCGAGCCCTGGCTGCCGCAGCTCTCAGAGCAGCTCTGCCGTCACACTGCGCACTCCCTCGGGCCGGGCCTCCTTCTTTCCGCGGGGACGCGGTCGCTTCGTTCTTCTGGGCTTGCCTCCGCACGTTGTAACCATCCTTTATGCGTCAGGTGCCGTCCTCTTTACTGACACTTTAATTGCTGTAGGCAATTCGGAAGTAATGCCGAAAACCACTTTTTTCTCCTGGGGCTTTAGATGCCAGTAGAGAAATCACACATGTCCAGGTTGAAGAGGTCCCGCCAGCGATCAGAGGCCTAGAGCTGGGGGCGAGGCGTTTCGGAGTGCAGTTTACCAAAGATTGATTGGAGATGGGAAAGACAGACCTGCCCTTTAGTTTCATCTCTGACACTGGGCTCTTCCGTCATCCTGTTTCTGAGTTTCCTCCTTTGAACTTAAGTTCCATTTAAACTTTAAATTTTAAAGGGTTGTTGTGAAAGCAATTGCGATGATGATCATGAAAGGGCTTGAAGGACCCAAAACTCCATATAATTAAACTTCAGCAGTTCTGTTTGAGAAGTAATGAGAGTCAGCATTGCCGGAGCACTGGTGACAGTTTTTAAAGGGCCATGGGGGCAAGGCTCAGCAACGAGGACGGGGAAACTGTTCAGTGCTGTCCTCCGGAGAGTGACATGATGGCTTTATCGGAAGGTGCGTCTGGTGTCAGGAGGGAGTTCTATTGCAGTCAAGAGCTGGAGGGCTACTCCAGCCCCCCCCCCCCCCCCCCCCGCCAAAACCTACAATTCGAGATAAGATAAATTAAGTTACATGTTATTTTTAGGGTGAGAAGAAGTACAAGAAATATACTTTGTATTATATATAACTATATTTTGTATTCTTTTGTTGTCTTATTCATATACTTTGTAAACATAGAACCTTGTTACATTTTAGACTGTCTTTGGAAAGGTTAATTACTTGATGTGGCACTAATTTTCATACAGACCTTTTTGAATAACCTTTAAGTACACTGACCCATTAAGGGTTAAAAAAGGAATTCTTGTAAAACTCTAAGACAGGACAGGATGACAGCTAAGTAGCAGGATTAATTGGGAAGTGTTTTCCAAACATACGTTCCAGCCCTGGCTGGGTAGCTCAGTTGGTTGGAGCTTTGTTCTAATACACCAAGGTTGTGGGTTGGATCCCAGTCAGGGCACAAAGGAGAATCAACCAATGAACCATAAATAAGTGGAACAACAGATCAATGCTTCTGTCTCTCTTTCATTAATTAAAACAACATGAAAAACATATGCTCCATGTCTTACTTTTCACTATGTCAGTGATTTTCAACTGCTGTGCTACAAGAATTTTTAAAATGTGCAGCCTCTGTTTAGTCAGGGGCACTGACCTTTTTTCCCTCAGAGTGTCAAGTAAAAAAAATGACAACAGCCAACACAACAATAATCATTGGTGTGAGTGAATCAAAATTATACCTGTTTTTAAAAATATTTTATTTATTTTTAGAGAAAGGGGAAGGGAAGGTGAAAGAGAGGGAGAGAAACATCAGTGTGTGGTTGCTTCTCGTGGGTTCCCTACTGGGAACCTGGCCTGCAACCTAAGCATGTGCCCTGACTAGGTTTTGAACCAGTGACCCTTTTAGGTCACAGGCCTGTGCTCAGTCCATTGAGTTATACCTGCCAGGGCATATACCTGTTTTTTGTTTTTTGGGGTTTTTTTTTGGTCAGGTTGGCAAAAAAATGTAATGTATTTTTTGGTGTGCCACAGATTTTTAGTGTTTATGTGTGCTATGAGATGGAAAAAGTTGAAAATTGCTGACTTATGTGATCAGAATTTTAATAAGCACCTCAGGTCAAATAACTGTTATAGGCACTTCAGTGATTTTAATGCTAAGTTACTGTAATGTATGTTAAATACAACTTTTCAAAATCATTACTATTGTTTTAAAGTTAGGTGGACCTGTTTGTGCTTTCATCATTTTTCATATTTGTTCATTTGTTTTAAGAATTATTTTTAATTTTTTAAGAGAAGTTATCAATTCAATTTTCGTAGACTGTACCGCTAAGAAAGGTAGCTTGGAAGGAAAGGAAATCATCCCAGTGCCTCCAGCATCCCACGTGTGTGTGTGGTGAGAAGTCACATTCCAGGTAGGGTCAAGTGCTGAGATTTTTCATGGTCCGGGCAAGAAGACTTAGGTTCTCTCTTGACCTTTGCGTGTATCGAAAACTTCTTAACTTTACTAAGACTCCGTTTCCTAAGCTATGAAGCAAGAGTGATACTATCTGTTCTGTCTACTCGGGAGTTTTTATTGTCATGACACATGTGGATGGTCTTTTTAAATTACAGTGTGTGATAGGCATGTAAAATTTTATCTCTGGATGGGTTCTATTTCTGTCTCTTTGAGAAGTATGAACAAACTTTTTTTTTAATCAAGCTAACTTTATCTTGTTTTCTAGATTGTTATTTTGAGTCAGTAAGTAATCCATGAAGTGCCAACATGGGAAAGAAACGGACAAAGGGAAAAACTGTTCCAATTGATGATTCTTCTGAATCTTTAGGTATATTTCACCAATTGAACCCTTAAAGTGATGTTTGTATCCCTAAGTGGACATACTTTAATGTGTAAAAGTGGGATAAAAGTTTACATTATTGTTCTGTAACTTGCTTTCAACTTAATGTTTATATGTAGTACATGTCATTTAATAGTCTGCAGTGTTTTAATGGCGTGATTATTCTACTGACAAAAAAGACCATGGGTGCATACGTATTTCATGATTTATTTAGGGTGTTTGCTGTTATAATTTCAAGTAACTTTTAACTTTTTAGTGTTATGAATGGAGCAGTCGTAAACATTTCTGTACCTAAATCTCTATGCATATCCAACTATCTTCTTTGTACAGATCTTAGAAGGAAAATCGCTGCATTAAACACTGGCATAAACACTTTCAAGGCTCTGTTGGTTGTGTTGCCAAGTTACCTTCCAGAAATGTGTCACTAACTCACCGGCCCCCCACAGCATGCTGCAGGGCCCCTTTCCTTGAACCTTTATCAGTCCTGATTAATATAATTTGTAAAATGCTTTGCTGGTTTGCTCGTTGAAAAGGTTGTCTTCTTTTAGTTCATGTCTCTCTGACTACTTACTGGGATTTAGTAGTCTTTCCATGATCTCATTTGCATTGATAGTCTTGTGGTACAAACTGCTTGGACGTAAAGCTCTTCGCGACACTTGACTCATCTCTAAACCTCCTGGGTCTCTGAAACAGCCGATGCCCCTTTGAGTGGCTCTCAGAGCCTGTTACTGAACTGTTCCCAAAAGCACTTTCAGCCCCAGCCCAGCTGCTTGTGTCTGCACCGGTGTGCCTGCCATTGGGGGGGGGGGGGCGCACACACTTCCACATTCTATACCCTGTGCCTTTGCTCCTCGGACGTGTCCTTTCAGATTGCTTTTAATCCCTGAGGTCATTGTTTAAAGTGTGAGCTTTGAAGTAAAAAAGACCTGAGTCCAAATTCTGGCTTAGCCACTTAGTAGCTATGTGACATTGGTGCGAAATCTTAGTTTCCTCATCAGTCATTGGGGATAGCAGTGACTTCTGCTAGGATTGTTGTGGGAACTAAATGAGATAATGTATGCAAAACATTTAGCGCAGTCTCAGGCTTATAGTAAGTATTTAATATCAGAATTTTAGAAACGACTTAATTTATTTTTAGGGAGAGGGGAAGGGAAGAAAAGGAGAGAACATCAATGTGTGGTTGCCTGTCATGCACCCCCCAACCGGGGACCTGGCCCACAACCCCAGGCATGTGCCCTGACTGGGAATCGAATTGGCAACCCTTTGGTTTGCAGGCTGACACTCAGTCTACTGAGCCACACCAGCCAGGGCCTAGTATCAGAAATTTTACTTGTGGTTAGTATT